TGGTGAGCGTAGGAAGATAATCTATATCACAGATTGATTGACTTATTCTCAATCATAAAGAGCCTGATACGTACAAAATGTTCTACCCCACAAACATGGGTGGATTGAAGTCATCGCCCTCACCATCTGTGCTTGCCGGTGAGTAACTCCACCCTCCCTCCTTTTGAGATGATAGGTTCATTTAAGCTTATTTTCGGATATATGTCATATCTCACACAATCCTCTGTGTTTCACATCCCGTTGGAAAACACTATTTCTGTAAGTACAATTTTACAAGATTATCAGGCAGTTACAAATTATTGACTGTGTGTAAGGCATCGATGCAATTCATTAATTGACTGTAGTATGGAGTTTGATTGACAACCATATTATAGGCATTAAGAAAGGTATGATGTACGACAGTTGTTTACCAAAGTAAGCAGAAAGGTATAGAAATATAAGAGTCATAGATAAGGTAACGAGTGGTGAAACAAAATTAATGGCAAGCTGACGTAGTGTGCGGTAGAGTAGAACGCTGGTGAAGAATGGACAAGGAACTCACATTAGCTTGTCTCTGATGTTATTTTGTGCCATCCTAACCGTTGATGGGTTACAGGCTTATTAGCTGCAAGGCCACTGGCAGAAGGCGGACGATTGTGTGGTCCTCTCGAATTTTTAGGGAAGTACCGAGTGTCTCTTAGCGACTCAATTTAGCTGAGCAGTATCATAGGTTTAGTGAGTTACCTGTCTAACTGAAATAAAAAAGTAAGGACGGAAATGTATCTGAAGCAACTACGAAATAAGGAAGTAAAGCAAATTAATCGCAAGTCTAATTTCGTATAAACATTTACAGACCCTATGATGTCTGAGTGGAACGCAGAGCTGTTTGATACGTATAAGTCAGCGCAAGTGAGGGCTTGATCAAGAAAAATGAAATACATCTGCCATGAATACTTACGAAGTGAGACTGTTATTGGTCTGCATTTCTTAATTTTGTACATAGATTATTTGGCTCAACGGTAGAAAAGAAAAGTAATCGAAATGATTACAGGAATACAAAGTACATTATTGGTACAATTCTTCTACATAATAATTAGTTATGTCACAAACGTTACATAAAAGTGAACTTGTTAGATTTAGCAACAGTAGCTTGAACAACTTTCAGAATAACTGGCTGTGTCAAGTTGCAGATATTTGTGCAAATTAAAAAAATGTATTTATTATTTGAGTGAGTAAACCATAATTAACCTCATTTCGCGAAAGTACGTTGCAAGAGCAAAAGTGTAAACCATAAACCGGAAAGGACGATTCTTGTGTACGACCTGCTGAAGGAATCTACCTAATTGTCTACATCATGGGATATCCATAAATTCGCAAACATAATGATATCTTATGTAGGCAAGCGAACTTCAGTCAACTTATGTGCTAAAACTAGACCACTATCCTTAAAGATCTTTGGGGATAACTCACCTTCTGACTTCCGTCACTCTAATTTGACTATGGTTTTTCAACTCTATTGTGTTACATGACCTATGTTAACATTTCATACAGGTTATTTGATAACAGTGGGCGAATGAAAGGTAGTTGGAGACCAGTTATCGGTCTTGTGAGTGTTCCGCCCATCGTTCTAACCTTCTGGCCTGAAAGTGAATCAATGTTCCATCGTTTTCCAAAATAGTTCTAAAAACTCCTAAATTCTTAATACCTGCTTCTCTGATAAGTCTGACAAGCTGTCGATTATCATTTATCGTCCTTATCATTTCCATCTCCTTTGCCTTTGCTGCCTATCGATGCTCACGAAAATTGCATAGATGTCAGTTTATATTTAGGTTAGTTTCGCTCATAATTGTGTTCCGAAACTGATGGGATACGTTTCCGAGCATCTATCAATTCAGTAGTTGCTATCAAACTACTCTGACTTTTGTTATTCTTTTGTTTTAAGTTTTCGTGCCTGTAGGTAGCCCTCGTGCTATTGATAGAAGAAATTAGACTAGTAGTGAATAGGTCTTTATTTAGATCTTCGCGCAGTTACAGTGGAGCGTGGAATTACCTGTTCAGACAAACAAAGCCTCTCAGCATTCAATATAAGATAATAGGAAATATAACGCCTATACAAAATGAGGAAGTGAATGAATAATCGAACTCTATTGTCTTGACATATTCTTAGTCGTTTGAGAACAACTCTTAACCAATCACCCTAAGCTGTTACAAAGTCACCGGTAGATATCATTGGTGTTTTCATTGATGTTTGGATATTATGACAACTTACATGATTGAATTTGCATATCTCACTGCTTAATTACAAAGTTAACTTGATTTAGACTACTTACCATCTAAGCAACGTAACTTCTGTTGGTTGACGATTTGCCGAATACGTTCCATCAAATCTAAATTTTTAAAAAATCTCATAAACAATTTACTAAGATTTAGGACAAAAGTAACATCACAATGACACTAAAATAACTAAACACTCTTGGACTTAAGAAAGTTTTGACTGAGTAGTAGTAATCTAAATGCTCTTAGTAAATTGAGCAACAGACGAAATAGTTCGTCTTATGACACCACCTGATTTACGTGAAACATCTAGACAGGTATAGACAAGAGTGGAAAAAGTCATTAAACATAAATATGTTACTAGAATTAGTTTCTTCTGTGAAGCGAACCGCTGGTAAGCGCTTTTCTTCAACCCTGTTACGATTTCGAGATGAGAAAGACATGAAGTACTTTGTACCGTATGCATAGTACTGTCTGAATATCGTGCTAATAACTATATATTAAATAACTATGATACATATAAGACGAAACATTTTTGAAAAATGACAGATCGATCAAGGTACTTGCAAAACCTAAACAAATGAGGTGGACGCATACATTCAACCATCATTTATCTCGAAACATCCACATCATAGACATTTGTGCATATAGCTGATCGCTGAGTTTTATTAATAACCGTCCATCCAATTTCATAATTTTGAAAAGAATCTCGTCAACAGTTAGCACTAAGCCACACTACATGATTTCGAATTATCAACCATAAATCTAAAGATTATCTTAACAATCAAAAACATGTGTAGGACAATAAATTCCGGAGATTTTAGCTAATTAGCAACTTGATCAAGATGCTCTGTAATAAAGCTTAAAAAATCCCAATTAAAGAGCATTGGTCCTTACGCAATGTCATATTGAATACACCTAGATTTAAGGGGTAAATAATAGGCGTTAATTATATTGCCTGATTATCTTGAGCTCAAGATATTAGTGGGTTGTCACTACTTAAAATGACGAAGAGAAACGCCAACCCACCAGATTTGATAAGACTTCCAAGATAATCGCAACGGTCGACGTCCTAAAATAGTTTATCCCCTATCATTAGCCCAAACGTTTATGTAGATCAGTCCTGAAGTAAAAATTTGCATTTAAAGGGAGAGAAACAGATCCCAAATACTCTTGAGTTGTTTCTCAAGATCAGAAGACTGAATTTTATGTTTTTTGCCAGAGAGAATTTTTATTTGAGTATTCTAAGTCAGAAAAATAATTTCCTGATAGATCGTTTCCTGAAAAGTTAGGGAAAGAAAATGTGATTCCCACAAACACATCAAAGTTTAAGAAAGAGGATAGTGGAGGGTCCTGATGAACACTACATTAAATTAACAAAGTTATTGCTCGCCATAAACTCTGATTCAATCAACAGCATTCGAATAGCGATCCTGTAAAAGGTTGATTTGCTTCTTTGGTACACCTTCCAATAACAAACACTGCCATAAAAACTGTCAGCCAACGAAATTGGATGACACCCTAAGGTCAACAAACAATACCATCGTTGAAAGTTCGTATGTTTGTCTAAAGCCTGACGAAGGATGAATAATTGGTCTACACGTCCAAGTCAAGGTTTGGAAACCAGCTATCTTTCCCGAGTTTCCTCTTCACGAGCAGTGCCGGTTGAATATAAAGGTCAGCATTTTAGACATTACGTTTGTCAAAATGATTCCTCATAATGTAGTGGGTAATAAATGTGCAGATGCAGGTACATGTACAAGAATAAACAAAATGACCTCTAAGAAGAAACAAATTATAGGGAGTCGACCGTTTCAGCACCGGATTACCATATCAACGAAAAACAAGCTATGGAGATGAGGTTCCATCTTGATGGTTTTATTCGAATACAAAGCTGGACTCAAAGTGACCCCTACTGTTTCTTCGAGAACAGAAAGCTGTTCGTCTGCTGCTGTCTGTTCATCTGAGGGCATCTTCCTAGCTATGTTCGACAGCTCGATCACCTCAAGAATCAGCAGAGATCTTGAAGAGCAGCATTCTTTGAACAGTCAATTTGATAGTAGCTTGCAACACCTTTTATATGCAGCCAGTGCGAGTCCGCTACACACGTTGTGATGCCACTTGTTTCAGTTGTCACATCACATTCCATCGTTGACCAGAAAGAGGCATGTAGGTCTGCCACAACGATGCTTTGCTTGTGCCATCAAAACTGCCAAGTGATCTCACGGACAAAACCACACAAAAAACTTATTAAAGCGCAAGGAAAAAAGCAAACAAGAAAACTGATCTCTAGACTGTTTTTTAAGCCTCTAATAGTGATAGACATTAAACACAAACGACTGAGACTTCTTCGTCACTGTAACTTAAAAATCCGACTAGAATAAATATAAGAAAGCCCTTACACTTTAGGATGCAATCAAAGCTAAAAGATTTACTCGATGAGGGCAAATATCAGTGCTCTTTTTAATTTCCTGGGATTGAAATGATATCATTACAGTCTGAGTCGGCTGAGCGGCCAGTCTTCGTCTTTTAACTTAGTAGACTGTAAGCAAAGGTGTAATAGGAAGTTATTCTTGTCAGACGTGAAGTGCACAAATATGCATGTATTTTGACACTAATTACTGACGTTTTTACGCATGATTAACAGTTATTCATCTTTGTCAAGCTTTACTGAAAGCGTTTCAGGAATGGAAATTTTCATAAATGAAAACAAGTATCTGTTTTTCTAAAGCAAGTTTTGGTTGGTTGCTGAATACACTTGATGTGACCTTGACATTTAACGGATGCCTCACGATGGGAGTGGTATGTTGCTCAGGTGTATTTTATCGGTATTTGTCCTTATCAGCCGCTGTTTTAGGGAGTAGGCTGTATTTCTGCTTCATTCGTTCAGTTCTAAACTTTAGATTATATGTTCAAATAAGTCACTGATGACCATTTCCTCTAAAATGAATTACTAAAATTATTACTCAATACGGAATATTACTGTATATATATATATATATATATATATATATATATATATATATATATATATATATATATATATATATATATATATATATATATATACCGTGCTAACTAAAATACAGTCCGAGTTTTCGCATTATCATTTTCTCGTTGAACACAAATTTGCCGATAAAGTGGAAATGAATGGTGAGACAATCTGACAATGAAAATGTTGCAAGGAAAAATTTGAAGTTTTCTCCTGTTTACTTTTTTCTTATCTTGATTTTTATGTGTAGATGTGTTATCAATCATATCCTTATTGTATACCACTCACACAGACAGTACTTATAGATAACCATAGCATATTTTTGCTACTTTCTGATTTCTACCTCCTTTATAAAAGCATTTTGTGCTTTTTAACCAGGTGTATAGACATGCAATTCACAGTTTTTCCGCAAATTTCAACGATGATCATTAAAGTAGTTCAGATTTTTATGCATGCTACGGACCAAATACATTAAACTCCAGTCATTAATTTACCAATGGAGTTCGTTTGATATCAGAAAGCATCACGTAGGTCGCCAACCGATAGTTAAACCTTCTTCATAGCTTCAGTGAAAATACATGTTTTTTATATAGTGTGTTATTGTGAATTTGGGAATGCTAGTTAGTAATCGTGTTGGTCTAGTTCTAGACAGTCAGTTGTCATCAACATAGAGCCCGGCATATGTGTGCATTAACTAAATTTTTAAATCGTATTAACACGAAAAGCTAAAATTGATGAGATATGCAACTATGGAAGTAGCCAAGACTATGTGGAGACTCAGCACTGAGAATAGGGTTTGGAAAAAGTACCAAAACACATGCGTAGGAATACTAAAATTCAAGACCAACAGAAAGAGAAAGAGTGGGTGCATCTGTATCATTGTGAACGATTCTGAACCATATCGCTAAAGGTGTTTAACCATTGATTACAATAATCGTGTGTGTACCAACCGGGTAGTTTGCATCTATTTACATAACTAAAACCAACAAGTAATGACATTATGGACTAATACCACTTTTTAATTTTGTTCTCCACCCTGGTTCTTTTCATCTACTCATACACCAGCCCTCATTGCACGTCGAGATAGGTGGTAATCAGCCATACTTAGTATATGTCTCAACTACCTTAGTTGTTAAAGGATCAACCAGTTCGCTAACATTAACTTAAGCCTTTGGTCTTATCTCAACATTCCTCACTTCGTGATCCTAACATATACGATCAATGCTTCGAAGGCATCTATGATCATACACAAGTAACCCATGAATATCCACTAATTTTAAAGATCACGTTTCACAACTACCAAGTAAAATAGAACGAACTGCTACACAGTATACGCGTTCTTTGGTTGGCAAACAGAAATCTTCCCTGCTCTATAGGTAACGTGAGTTGTCTTAAGTCAACAGAGTTTTCTGAATCCTGATTGAGATTTTGTCGGGTTTAGTAGTCAAGTTGACTGTGATATTAGCTAGAGTTGGAGAGCTATATTTAGTCCTAACTGACTTGTCTCAATCGCTGATCTTCCAGATTTTAAGGAAGGAATAAAATCTTGTGGTAACCACAAAGGAATCATTTTGACAAACGTAATGTCTAAAATGCTGACCTTTATATTCAACCGGCACTGCTCGTGAAGAGGAAACTCGGGAAAGATAGCTGGTTTCCAAACCTTGACTTGGACGTGTAGACCAATTATTCATCCTTCGTCAGGCTTTAGACAAACATACGAACTTTCAACGATGGTATTGTTTGTTGACCTTAGGGTGTCATCCAATTTCGTTGGCTGACAGTTTTTATGGCAGTGTTTGTTATTGGAAGGTGTACCGAAGAAGCAAATCAACCTTTTACAGGATCGCTATTCGAATGCTGTTGATTGAATCAGAGTTTATGGCGAGCAATAACTTTGTTAATTTAATGTAGTGTTCATCAGGACCCTCCACTATCCTCTTTCTTAAACTTTGATGTGTTTGTGGGAATCACATTTTCTTTCCCTAACTTTTCAGGAAACGATCTATCAGGAAATTATTTTTCTGACTTAGAATACTCAAATAAAAATTCTCTCTGGCAAAAAACATAAAATTCAGTCTTCTGATCTTGAGAAACAACTCAAGAGTATTTGGGATCTGTTTCTCTCCCTTTAAATGCAAATTTTTACTTCAGGACTGATCTACATAAACGTTTGGGCTAATGATAGGGGATAAACTATTTTAGGACGTCGACCGTTGCGATTATCTTGGAAGTCTTATCAAATCTGGTGGGTTGGCGTTTCTCTTCGTCATTTTAAGTAGTGACAACCCACTAATATCTTGAGCTCAAGATAATCAGGCAATATAATTAACGCCTATTATTTACCCCTTAAATCTAGGTGTATTCAATATGACATTGCGTAAGGACCAATGCTCTTTAATTGGGATTTTTTAAGCTTTATTACAGAGCATCTTGATCAAGTTGCTAATTAGCTAAAATCTCCGGAATTTATTGTCCTACACATGTTTTTGATTGTTAAGATAATCTTTAGATTTATGGTTGATAATTCGAAATCATGTAGTGTGGCTTAGTGCTAACTGTTGACGAGATTCTTTTCAAAATTATGAAATTGGATGGACGGTTATTAATAAAACTCAGCGATCAGCTATATGCACAAATGTCTATGATGTGGATGTTTCGAGATAAATGATGGTTGAATGTATGCGTCCACCTCATTTGTTTAGGTTTTGCAAGTACCTTGATCGATCTGTCATTTTTCAAAAATGTTTCGTCTTATATGTATCATAGTTATTTAATATATAGTTATTAGCACGATATTCAGACAGTACTATGCATACGGTACAAAGTACTTCATGTCTTTCTCATCTCGAAATCGTAACAGGGTTGAAGAAAAGCGCTTACCAGCGGTTCGCTTCACAGAAGAAACTAATTCTAGTAACATATTTATGTTTAATGACTTTTTCCACTCTTGTCTATACCTGTCTAGATGTTTCACGTAAATCAGGTGGTGTCATAAGACGAACTATTTCGTCTGTTGCTCAATTTACTAAGAGCATTTAGATTACTACTACTCAGTCAAAACTTTCTTAAGTCCAAGAGTGTTTAGTTATTTTAGTGTCATTGTGATGTTACTTTTGTCCTAAATCTTAGTAAATTGTTTATGAGATTTTTTGAAAATTTAGATTTGATGGAACGTATTCGGCAAATCGTCAACCAACAGAAGTTACGTTGCTTAGATGGTAAGTAGTCTAAATCAAGTTAACTTTGTAATTAAGCAGTGAGATATGCAAATTCAATCATGTAAGTTGTCATAATATCCAAACATCAATGAAAACACCAATGATATCTACCGGTGACTTTGTAACAGCTTAGGGTGATTGGTTAAGAGTTGTTCTCAAACGACTAAGAATATGTCAAGACAATAGAGTTCGATTATTCATTCACTTCCTCATTTTGTATAGGCGTTATATTTCCTATTATCTTATATTGAATGCTGAGAGGCTTTGTTTGTCTGAACAGGTAATTCCACGCTCCACTGTAACTGCGCGAAGATCTAAATAAAGACCTATTCACTACTAGTCTAATTTCTTCTATCAATAGCACGAGGGCTACCTACAGGCACGAAAACTTAAAACAAAAGAATAACAAAAGTCAGAGTAGTTTGATAGCAACTACTGAATTGATAGATGCTCGGAAACGTATCCCATCAGTTTCGGAACACAATTATGAGCGAAACTAACCTAAATATAAACTGACATCTATGCAATTTTCGTGAGCATCGATAGGCAGCAAAGGCAAAGGAGATGGAAATGATAAGGACGATAAATGATAATCGACAGCTTGTCAGACTTATCAGAGAAGCAGGTATTAAGAATTTAGGAGTTTTTAGAACTATTTTGGAAAACGATGGAACATTGATTCACTTTCAGGCCAGAAGGTTAGAACGATGGGCGGAACACTCACAAGACCGATAACTGGTCTCCAACTACCTTTCATTCGCCCACTGTTATCAAATAACCTGTATGAAATGTTAACATAGGTCATGTAACACAATAGAGTTGAAAAACCATAGTCAAATTAGAGTGACGGAAGTCAGAAGGTGAGTTATCCCCAAAGATCTTTAAGGATAGTGGTCTAGTTTTAGCACATAAGTTGACTGAAGTTCGCTTGCCTACATAAGATATCATTATGTTTGCGAATTTATGGATATCCCATGATGTAGACAATTAGGTAGATTCCTTCAGCAGGTCGTACACAAGAATCGTCCTTTCCGGTTTATGGTTTACACTTTTGCTCTTGCAACGTACTTTCGCGAAATGAGGTTAATTATGGTTTACTCACTCAAATAATAAATACATTTTTTTAATTTGCACAAATATCTGCAACTTGACACAGCCAGTTATTCTGAAAGTTGTTCAAGCTACTGTTGCTAAATCTAACAAGTTCACTTTTATGTAACGTTTGTGACATAACTAATTATTATGTAGAAGAATTGTACCAATAATGTACTTTGTATTCCTATAATCAATTCAAGTAGGTTTCTTATCAGTAGTCCTGGTTGATTTACTTTTGTTCGTCTGTTCTCCGTATTTTTGAAATATTCATTCGCATTTTTAAAGTTGCGGGTAGTCTGCCAGGTAAATTATACAGACTCAGCTTTCATGTCATCAAGTGCGTCGTGACCACGTTGTGCATAGATGTCTAGTCGAGCTAGCATATCGCAGACAAATCTGGGTACCAATTAATAACTCATTTTCATAATAAAAGGCCAATTCACAATCTCACGTTATCATAGTCACATTCTATTATTTTTCTTTAAAACACATAGCATCTGAGTATACGATATGCACAGTAAAACCGTTTAAAATCGTTTTATCAATTCTTATGTTTAATTATTAATCCTTGATCAAATCACCAGCGCGAATTACCTTGCTGTCATAATATTCTCAATTCCTGTTAGGAAGCTTAAAAGACTGAAACTGAATATATAGATTTAATTTTTGAGTGGAATCTGAATGAAACATATCTTTCCGTACATGTTAAACTATAAAGGCCAGTTCTTATCTTGAATATGTCTTCAATTTTGAATTGTAAATGTGGTTATCCTTTAACTACAAGTTACAAGAATATTTTCTTTTGAATCTGATGAGATTGGGATTTGTTCTAAACGAATGAAAAGCATCTAATTACATCGATTGTTAAGAATATTGGTAATTCACAACTTGTCCCACCAGTTTCCGAACACGACGAAGAGTGAAAACAAATCAAATCTAAGTTAACCGAAAGTCTACGGAACAATCGCGAGCAGTGGTTGGCAACGAAAGCAAAATAGATGGAAAATTGAGCGGCTGTAGGTAATACAAGATAGCTTTTGAAAGTAATGAAAGAAACCGGAATTAAGAAGTCAAGTGTAAGTGTTACGATCTCGGAAAAAGACGACACTTATCTGCTTCTAGTCCCAGATGTCTAGAATGTGAGTTACTAGTATTTGATCACATATACTCGTATTTGCTGGAATCACCTGGTAAGTAATAGTGAGGTTAGACACATGGTATTAGGGAACGATGGTAAATCAATTAATGAGGTTGTAAATCTTCATGGATTGAGGTGGTTGGGCCACATATTACGCATGCCTAACCACCGACTACCACGTCGCGCAATGCTGACTAGTGTTGGGGACGGCTGGATGACAGTTAGGGACGGTCAAGCCAAAACGTAGGATCATTCTTTGTAGTCACTAACTTCTGGTCTGATCCATGTTGGTAGGTTTAGACTACTTGGTTGGGGTCCGCTGGACTATCGCAACCAATGGTTGGAGACTCCGGGTGACATGGGTCACAATTGATCACAATGGCGTAGGTGTATACACTCTTCCCTTAAACTATGAGATTGAAATTACTTTATACCTTTCTTTCTACAAACTTATTCTTTCTCCTCGTATCATATCCTTATATTAGATATTTTTGTTTTACCACCTTTAAAGTGACTGATTCTATGAATTTGGTGTTCATCTTGTTGTGCTAATGAGGTGTGGCAACTTGGACCGATGCATATGTATGCCTGGTCCTACGTTGTGGCTGACTGACTTACTGGTAATTCACAGATATTCTCGATTTTCTGTCATATTTCTACTCACGTCTTCTGACCACCATGTAAGTACATTCGAAATGTGTATAGACCTGGTGATGTTTTTAAGATTTGACGGTTGCTCAATAGCTTTATTTGGGAACTAAGTTCTGACTGATATTCATTTATTCTTTTGATTACGCAGGAGATAAATTGAACTCATCTTCAATCGCTGGATATTTGAATGATTTGATGGATGATAATCACGATAAAACTGAAGTATCTAGCAAATCTGTCACGCGCAAAGTAGCTGAAACCACTGCTCCATCTCCTTATCCAGGTAAGTAAAATGAAAGCATCATTTTTAAAAGGCTACTATTTTCCTATTTAAAAGAACGGTGTTCTGTTTTACTAGTCGTCCCGCGTATTTGTTAAATAATTGTAACGTTCAGTCTTTGGTAGGTTTGCGTCTATCCTGAAAGTACCTTGTGTTCTGGGGTATTGTGAGATGTAGTTTGTGGGAAAATCTAAAAGTGGAAAAATGAGCCGATGACTCAGTCAGCATATTGAATGCACTTACATTTAACATTGAAAACAATGGACAACAATCAGAAATAAGATATGTTAAATTAGGACAATTCGATAACGGAAACTACGAGTTGGTAGCGTAGGGTTTCGAATGCGTTACATAATAGTTTTTGGAAATATGTATATCAAAACAACAAAAGAAAGCTGTTGACATTCCTATAATGATTTAATATATATTAGTCTATTGAAGAATATGAAGTGGTTACTTCCTACTGTTTGGAAAGTTCAAGTATAACAGGTGATATGAGGGCTGAAGTAAAATTATAAAAAAGTGGAAAGGCAGATTGCAATGTCAACAAAAAGTTTAAAAGTATCATAGCCACGTGGGTTGATGACTCAGTAATAGTAGTACGAATAATTAGTTATGTGTAGGTACAAAAAAAATTGACTAGTATGAAATTAATACCGTTAAAGTTAAGTTAAATCGAGTTTATTGAACTGAAATAATAATTACTAGGTTGGTTAGAAATAAAAGAACTAATTGAAGATATATTTATCAACACACAACATCCATCACCGTTTTTCTGTAAATACAATAGTTGTGTTCTAAAGATGATTATCTCTGGAAGTTTCAGTGGACTCAAATTCTGTTTATTTATCATTCAGATGACCGTCTTAATTCCTGCTATGTTATTTGTCAAGTAAATAACATGTAACAGAGCTACTGCTGTTCTGCAGTTTCTTTTAATCACCAAGCAATCGCTCTAATGTGCAAGAACATGAAGTGGAATAAGTGGATACCTTTTTTCAAAGAGTTAGTCTGGGTTTACTATACATATCTAAACTGATAGACACATTTAAGGATATGAACATCGATATTTTTCTGAATAATTAAACATCATTTCCTATACAATGACATCAGTTTCACCGTCGTAAATATTTTGTTGGGTACTAATGTTTTTGAGTAGTTTTAATGGAGATTGAAATATGTTGGATAGATGTAGGTGAGTCTAGTTTACTCATCACAACTCTTTCACAAAGCTCACTAGCTCGTAGAGTTTTTAGTTAGCCATTCTTTAGATGATATTTGTTAAATCATTCATACTTATGATTTTCTCAAGTGCGGTTTCTAGTTATCGTTCCATTTTTTGCGAAATACTTGATTCCATAAAATGCAACGTATTGTCAACCTAATCATGAATTTTGATATTTTAGTAAACTAATAGGATGATTTTTTATGGCATTTAATAAACGCATCGTGAACTTACGTTCTAAAAGATATAATTTATTTTGCATCATCGGATTGCATTTTTATGGTATTAAATAAAATCATGTTTGTCTGTTCAAAGCATCACTATCATTTTTATATAACAGGGTTTTCTACTGTCAATGGAGATCAAAAGAAAATATCTACAAATGAAACATATTTCAGCATATGTAGATCTGATGCAAAAGCCCATATTTTAAAACGTTTACATGGTACAAGTCCAACAAATCCGTGTGTTAGGCTCGTCTCTGCCAAAAATATACGTTCGCAACATGTTGATTCACAAATCGATACAATTCCTAATAATGTACATGCCTGGCGTCAGGGTAAAGAACTTATTCATAAATATCTTGGCACTTCATCTGGTTAGTGTTTGTTTATCGTTAAACTATATTTTATTTGTAAGACATTGTCTCAGCATATATGTCAGAGTACATTCATATTTTGTTTTATAAACTTGATACATGCATAAAACCGACGGATGATTTCGTTTACTCTATTAACAAACCATTCTCTTAATTAAACTTTCATCATCATATTACCTTAGAGTTAATAGAGATTCTGCAAACACTTCAGAGTTTCTGACCATCAGTCACTAAGGCAATTACATGTTCTTGGAATAAAAGGGAACTCAAAATCAATGATAATGTAAATGGTATGTCCATCTATCTATCTGTCAAAGTTTCGTTTGAATGGGTTAGGTGATGGTTGTTAATCAATCAATGCTATACCAAACGATAGTAGCTGTAGAATATGTTGACATATTTTGGAACTACATCTCAGCATATCAGTTGACAAAACTAGCTAATGATAAGTCGGTAGAAAAAGGCGAGTTCACGTTTCCAGATTAATAAATGCCATGATTCGTCATTTCTTTATATCACAGTTGTAGGCTTTGAAAATAACATGACACTAGTATGTATGTTAGTTGTCTGTATAGTACTTTTGACTGGTAATTTTATCATATTCTTTCACATGTTCGACAATAACGAGCAATGATTTAATCAATCTCAGTGCGAATAACATAAAAAATTAATTTTTCACAACCGCCTGTGACATAAAATCACACTTCAAGAAGTGATTGTATAACTTAGTTGAGTAGTCATATCTGTCGGTTGTAAATACTTAATTGTATAATATAGTGAATTTGTTCGCATAGTAAGTTATTGATTAATTTATGTTAAATACTACTCATTTCAATTTATACAAATCCAGCTGTAAGTAAATAATATAAAAAGGGATGTATTTTCTAACTAACCCTTTTACCACCTAAAGTTAAACCAGGATTGTCGTCAAAAACGTTTTTACGAAGCTGGCCATGAAATACTCATTAAATGACTTAACGCAACTGACTATATAATTTGATGCTAGCTAACATATTCAAAGTTATGTCTGGACTTTTAAATACTATTGTGTTTGAGTTGTTGTGACTGTGAAATGCTTAACTGACTTGTGCTTGGTTTTGAAAAATCCTAATTTTACGACGCGTAGTTAAAGCACAGACCGCTTGTACGGACTTAAAGGTAGTGAGTTTATAAACTAAAGTTTGTGGAATTAAAAAGAACAATGCAATGACCTAAAAATTGATGTGTCTAGCATATACGCTTGTCACATGTATTTGTATCCCCACGTAGACATTAAAATGATAGACATGTAGGCAGCGCAAATACAACTACACAGAAGTACATCATTTCATATAGCTACACTTCACAACAGTACGTAAACAGACTGCTCTATTACACTATTCATATTTTCTTGGATATTTTATGGCGTTTTATATTTTTCCATTCTGCTTTGGAATGTGACAGATCAAAACGGTTCGCTAAAATGGCAATCAATCTCATAATTTAGTTTCAGTTTGAGATGTTTCTTCCATAAGAACAGATTTTATTTTTTATCGGCCAGGTTATACAAAAATAATCAACCATGTAATATATATATATATATAACATAATTTATTTGTATGAAATTGTTAATTTCATAAATTTCTTCCATAGAGAGTATTGATAAACATGCGGATAAGGAAGAGCAATCTCCAAAATTAGATCATTCGAGCCCGTTGGGATTTGATGCAATAATTGATAAGGAAAATCCAAAAATAATAAATGCAAACCAAAATGAACCGAATAAAGTAAATTCGGACAAAGCAAGCAAACAGATAGTGAATGCGCCGCTTGTTGCTTCCAAGTCTGGTAAAGGTCTATTTCATCCAGTTAAGACAAAAAATGTAGTAAACAATTATTCAGGTTTGTCAACATTTTTTGGACATGCTTCGCATGATCATTTTAAAGCAAATTTTACACCTTTATTTTCCATGTTCATGTTTACAATAGACGGGTTGATAGATTTTAAGTGAAACTATCTTATCTGATTGTTTTCGCTGTCAGAAAGTTAATTCTTAAAGGCCACGTTGCCTACATTGACACGTTCTTGTGTTCAAGTTTTAGTGCTTTTATGCTATATCTAAGTGGCTAGCCTGATTTAAATTTTATTTCCCAATTTTCAGATGCGCTCGGATCTGTACAAAAAGATATTCATGGCTATCCTACCCCTAGAGCTCATCTTAAGGCCCTGGTCCAACAACAAAGGGAAGCTCGAAAACAGGAGCATAAACGGCAACTGGAAGCTGAAAAAAAGAAGCGTGAACAAATACAACGAAATCTACAAGCAACTGCACTAGCAGCTGCCGCTGCTGCGAAGTTACCTGTCACTGCAACCAAAAGAATGTCCGAACTTTCTCCAGTTATTCCTGTATGCTTATTTCAACCGGTCAAAGCACCTGTATTGACGGTACGTTTTCGGTGTTAAAGTCTATGAAGTGTCGGTTAGTTTTATGTATGTTTTAAACCATCGAAGTCACTCTTTTGTTTAAATAATTACATCCATTTATTTTTCTAAACATAATTAACTTCAGCGGACTTTTATTCCAGAAAAATTTCCGTCATTTTAAATTGGGTCACTCAACGTTAGCATGAATTTTCGCACATTAAAAAACCGAATTTATACATTATAGGTAGCAAAATAACTCGAACTGAAGCAAAGTAACTGCTAGGGAAGCCTCAAGTTATCTAGTTTTATTAGCAAATTTTAGTTCCTTTCTTGTAGCGATAACTTCAGTTACCTTTTTCTCTAATTCATATTTCCGAATGACTTTTGGTGTTTACTGATCGGTCGTTTTCGCTTTTAGTCTGCTAATTTTTCTATGTCCCAAGGTCGTATTTCATTGCTGTGTATATAGTTTCTCTATTTTAATTTGTTCATTGTCAAACACCAAGTTTCTTTGCGCTTCTGTCTCATTTTGTTCCACAGTGTAGGGGGAAATGTTGGAGTGTTGTGTGTCAGTCGTCATGGCACTGAGTTTGCGATAGGTTCCGTTCTTATTATATTAATCTTGATCATTCGTGACTATAAATTACTGTACGCTCAGCTGAACCCCAATTTTGTAGTTTTTTTGTACCAAGATCTCAAATATGCATATTCAGGTATGTTGTTTGATTAGTGGGAACCTGTAAATAGTAGTATTTAATTAAATGTTTATCTTTTTATAGTTGGACTCTTATTCTTCAGAACGAGAACAAAAACTGGAGGAGCTTCTTAGACGTGAGATATCAACACCAGAAAACCAGGTTGTTGAGATTATTCCTCCTACGTCTTCCGACCGAGATTCCACCAATTCTTCTTATCGAGATTTTATCGAAACTTTCAAAGTTAGATCTAGTTCGACGGACTCCCATGTAACTAATCCGGTCCCAACTAGTGAATCCATCATGAAACGAAATCGAATGGCTGCTGTAAATAAATATGAAGATATTAACAGTAAGTGATTATAAAAAGCCGTCCATCTATAAATACCTTTTATTTATACATTTTCCATGATATTCCAGAGGTTTGCTTAGTTTAATGATGTTATTAATTGCTAATATTAAGTAGAAAAACGAACTTCACAAAACAAGTAAGAAAAAGAAGCAAGTTAACTAAGTAAATTTTAGTTGTAAATGAGTTTTAAAGATTAACCAGAAATTGACTTATGTAATATAGGAAGTAAAAGACTTCAAACCAGTTTCTAAATTTTTGCTTTCTACTTTATCAAACGATTTGAACTTGTTCTTTTCTTTCACTTTCAGTTCATTTACACTATTCATTTCTTTCAACATATAAAGAATCTACTTCAATACTTATTTGTGTTGCATACCCATTCGTCTTACTATGAACTTTTTGAAAGCTATGTTAGGTATTAAAAATATTTTTTTATATGGGTGCTCGACAATATCGCAGAGTAGAATTTACGAATCATCTATATCATAAACAAAGGGAATTCAATTTATCGATTTAAATTAGTACGCTCCATTATATAGTGTTCGTTTGTGACTAATTAGTTGTGCTCATACTGATGTGCAAGTTACCCGCATCTTTAGCAAAATAAGCGTATAAATATATATATATATATGCATATATCTCAACAACAACTGAATTAAGTGTGATACACTATGTCCTGCATAATTAATATCCATCTGTTCAAAATTTTACTTAAATCGAATTACTTTACATTATCTTATAAACTCTAATATATATATATATATATACCATTTTGGAGTCAGTTCGATTTTTTTCTTTTTTGTGTGTTTATTTGTTCGTTACCTACTTCGGTTTCGGCAACCGGGCAGTATCCCATCCCTCACACAATTCGAATGGTTTATATGGCGTATATCTATTTGGTGCCTGCTTGTGCCAATGTTTATGTGTTTATATAAATCAATTTGTTCGTTATGCTTATCTGCAATAATACTGCCTTTAATTTGAACCAGTCTTAAGGTATTTTCTAAGAAGATCCGACTAGTTGAAGTATACATATATGTAGAGTTTTGTTTAGTTTATTTTACTCAGTATAAAATCTCAGTAAAAATAGATTTTATTGACATTATTAAATACAATCCAATTCATTCGTTAGTACCGAGTTTTCATAACTACGTCTTTTATGTACTGTACAATCAAATCCATCGGAATAAAGCATCTGAAATTGATTGTAGCCAGGAGACTATCTTGGCTTCTCCAAATTTCTATGTATAAATATATATGAATGAGAAATGGTTCTACGGTAAGTAAATAATTAGTTTAGGTCAAGAAACTTATATTCATGATGATAAACTGTGCAACATCAGTTAACTTCTATCACTGACAAGCATAAAATGAAAATGGCTTCATGGATAAAAAGTGTGTCAAACAGTTAGAGAATATTTAGTTTACAATAAGTTTATGAAATACTAGAAAGAGAATTGTTCTAATTAGTGGCATTTATAATACATATGTACATATGTACTATAATTTTAATTACTCGTGTATCCGTTATATAAGCAATGCAATTTTAGCACATTAAATGATTATGTATATAGTTGGTTTTATGGCACCCAGGCAGTATCACAGCCCTCACACAATTCAGTGATAACTACTACTGGCCTCATTGTTATTGTGTGATGCATATGTATTTGGTACCCCCTTGTATAAATCTTTATGTGTTCAAATAAATAAATGATTCAACGAATACACTTTCTTGGAGTTGCTCAGTTTTATTCTTCGTATTGTATGATGTTTTTTAACTGAGTAAAATTTTCACACATCTGTATCACAGCTAATAGTCGTCGACCATTATGATGAAAAACAAGGACAAATAAACTCATCTACAAGGTGAATTGGGTGTTAGCCGTACTCCAAGTGTAAATGCCAGTGACACTGTATGGTCGTCCGAATCTAGTTAGGTGTGGCGGGATTTGAACTTAGAACTTAGTGGCTGGAAGTCGAACGCCTCAACCACTAAGACAGCTATATATTTCTTTATTGTTCTATATATGTTTGGTAGATTTTTGTTCAGATGAAGAGAAAAGCATTCTCCAGTTTGCATATCTGGTATGTATTTTCTTCTTAGTTTCTAGACCACCAAAATGTGGCAAGCTGATTAATAGTTATAGCCGTTCAATACAGACGAATAACTGTAAACAAATGTTTAATTCTATTCCTCCAAGCACTGCTCCACCAAAAAACTATTTGAATGAGAAATCATCGCATATGAAAAACTTGCAAGTCGAAACAGTCTCATTATCACCGACTTATCATAAGTTTTGTTCAGCTGGCTCTCATACTACTCGTAAGTAGTATTATTGAAATATTGTGATTGTTTTATTGTTATTACATATAGTCGTGTCTCAAATTGTTCCCTCCACTAGATGTTTACCCTTTAATTAAAAAGCGCCTTTTACTGAGGGACTAAATGGATTTTTATGTTCACTAATATGGCTTATTTACCAAATAAAAGAGTGTAAGTCCTCACCTTTAGATCGGATAATTTTCATTATGTCTGCTAATGATATCCATCTACCTAAACTAAAATATGTTGTGTACGTTTCAGACTTGTGACGTATCGATTGAAATGCTACTGATTTATTGCCTCACTTATTATTGTAGACTTTTAATTATGCATATGCTTACTGTTAAATCTACCGAAGCATCCGACTACACAGCCGAGATATGCATAAACATCCAGGTCCCAAACACATTTTATCTATTATTACAAAGTACAAGTAAATTGGTTACAAACCTCAACTTGTGAGGTGTCTATGGTTGTAAATACGTTTGTGTATATGAAATGAGAAACGCTTTTTTCAATAATTCTATTAAAATTAATTACAACATGGAGTGAATTACAGCCGTTAGTCAATGATGACTAACAACAATCAAATGAAGAATAACAGTAGAAAATATGAACTCTGTTGCCTTTTAATAAAGTTTCATGGAATGCAAAGATTTGGAATGTAACTGTTAAGGAGTAAGTACTTGGGAATATTAACCGAGAACAATTGCACGCTACAGATTACTTGCTCAAATGCTGTGAGAAATGATACGGATTACTGAATATTCGTTAGTAGTATAGCTTAACACACGAAAACGGTTTAAGTAGGAGGCCAATAGATGATGTAAACGAAATTAACGGAATTACCGAGACTATAATTTGTGGACGACCTTTGAACGGATTACCAGTGATCTTGAGAAATTTCAGCCAATCAGAAATCAGTCGGTATCGCGTAAAAATATATTATGCCAAGCCAAATAATTAGAGTGAATACCTTCTTCAACATGGTTTAAAAACTTTTCAATGTTAGAAAAAGACTCTGATGTACTGAAATCGTAATGCTTACAATACAGGAACTCATCCATGTGACTATAATAGTCGACCTCTGGAGCCACGGAATTAATCTAATTTAAATTTCAAATAAATTTTGGCCGATTATAATAACTTGGTGACATGTTTTTGTTTTTGTTTAATGCTAGATTTTACTGTTTCTGCAAAATTTATAGGCTTCAAACTTTATGAAATATAACTCGAACAATCCATGTCATAGACCAATTATAGTTTTACAAATAGAGGCCTAACACATTTCATTTCAATGTTTGTTCTGTATAATCACTCGCCCTCAACTTCATCATTTGTAACGTAATCATTTCATAACTCGCTAATGAATTTTTTCAGTTTTACTATCAAACTTCTTTTAATTTTTTTGATAAAGGTTTTTATGAATCTGAATCACCAAAAAGGTCTCTTCATCAAGATATGGAATTTCAGATTCCCGTTCCTGTTGCAGGAAATGTGTCAACACGTCCGAGAACCGGTGTGAATGTTACTCGTTGTCCTAAAGCACTACAAAAACGGTAAAAATGTTCTAGGAGTATATACATCATGTTTTGCAGACTTTCATTTTAAAATTGATCTTTGTAACTTATCTGATTCTATGGTTTCCACTTTTTATTTAACCAGTAACTATTGTTTTGACATTACTATTTTATTGGTCAGTAAAAATTTAGTCGATTTACTAGGTTAGTTTCTTTTTTGGATTAAGTCATTAATTATGTTCATTCAGATAATGGCTTTCACGCTATCAAAATATTCTTAGATAAGTTATCAATTTCAATACCGAGATTGCTTCTCAATATGTGATTCTACCAATTTGAATAGGTTTTTTAGATTAATAATCGTCGCGATTTTTATTGTCATTTTCTTTACTAGTTTATTTCCTTCGAAAGAACGTACTGTCCCATATGCAAATAAATCAAAGACTATCTGTGATCAGGTTACGGAGGCTGCGCGTCTCGATATAAAACTGAGCGCACAACGTGTAAAGCATATGCTTTTTGTTGATTCTGACGATGATGATAATGATGATAATTCTGATGAGGATCAATGTTTTTATACAGATGATGGGGTTAATTCCTCAGTCTCTTCGTATGAAACAATTCAAAAGCCAACTGTAAGTATTTGGAGACGTTTAGAAGCTGTAGGGGCTAGTGATTCGGAGTTAGAAGAGAATAATGTTTGTATCGTTGAAGATATCAAGGTTGGTCTGTTTATTTAACATATCTTATAAAGTATCATTTTAAATATTTCAGTTGATTAAAATCAATCACAATGGCATAACTCCATCCACTCTTTATTTTCTTAGATCTTGAGTTTCAAAATTATTTTATTTCACAAAATAATTCTTTCTTTTAATATGTTATCCTTGTCCAGTCTTTTTTATTTTCATTGGTACTACTATTACTTCTACTAATTTAGTATTCATCTTGACGATCTCATCTCTGTTCTGGTGTAGTATGGCAACTTTGGCCGATACGAATGTGTGCCAGATTCCACGTTATTTATGACTGACAAACTGAATAATCAAACAAATATTTTTAGATCGCGTATGAATTTTTTTTTCATTTTAGTAAATTAAAAGTCAACCTTTTAGATGTATCTAGGCATATAATGTAGAACTCAAAGAATCCAGATTGTTTTGTTGCAGAACGTTTTTTTTATAATTTCGGTGTTACTTTTATATCAAAGAAGTACGTCTTAGGTACCCTCACCAAGTTAAATAAAGGTTGTGAAGGGATATTTTTTACAAACGTAGTAAAAATGTCAATTAATCTTGTGCATAGAAGCTGTTCACTTTCACTCAGTCAACTAAATTTCAAATTCACACGTCTTTTTTCAGAAAGAAGATATTTCCAACCATTTTTCTGCTCTCTTTGGTGATTTTCGTGATGTGATCTAGTTTTACCATGATAAATCTCTTTTTCTTGTGACGTCTAATAAAAATGAAATAAATTTCACTTGCCGTTCATCACCAACAATTTTGACTTTCTACATTGGAGTTCCTAAAACTACTAGAAAAACTAAGGTGTACTCTCAAAAAATAGTCAATATGTCTTATCTTCGTTGGTAACCATCAGTTTGCGACGCGATAACTAAAACATTGAGTTTTTTAGAGCTTAAGCATTAGTTTCATGTAACTCATGAGTTTTAAATAGTAATTTTTCTATTTTACAAACTGTTTATTTATTTAGGATGAAAAGCCTGTGATTGTGGATAATGTATCTCAGCATTGCTCAACTTCTTGGAAGTATAATGCCAACATGAACCATTTTCTTCATTCTGGCTTGAATAATTTTATGGGAGACATTCGTGCTAAGAATGAATTTCGGAATCTCATTTATAGTGATCCTTTACGTTTCGCTTCTGTACACAAACGTCAACAAAAGCTATTTCTTAGGTAAACTTCAATTTCAAGTTCAATCATATATGGATATGTTCAGTTTTATGTTCAGTGTTTAAGAAAAACTTAAACTTAAATATTATTTATATTTCTAGAGTAGGAAAGAAACCTTTCAAATCTTTGGGACCACAAGTAAACAGTATAGAAAAGGTAGAAGTTCACGAAAAGAATACAACAAATGGAGATAGTTCACTTCATTCTCGAGAGAAGATTGATAAAGAATCACTAGTTGTCAAATCGAATGCTCCCAGTAATACCAACATTCAAGCAGTTAATGTGAGTTAGATTATGGTTAACAATATCAAATGGATCCGTAGTGTATTGACTTTTACAATTTATTTGACTTCCTTTTTTATGCTTATTAGGTGGAATGTACAGACTCAGGAGATCAGAGTTCGTTATCATATACTGCTTGTTCCATCAGGACGAAAGCACAGGAGTTATTTATAACAGAAGATAAATCCGATTCCAAGGCACTCCCTACGAATCATCAAAAGACTAATAATTTTATAAATAAAACTATAAACTCTTCTCAACTGAGGCTAACACCCGCTGCACTTAATCTCCAGTTAGCCGCTGAAATGAATTATCTTGAAACACTCTCTGGTTCGATGCAGCATATTGCTGATATGGAGTCTCTTCGTCAGATTACCGCTGCTCAAACCGAATGTGTTAGCCTAGCACAGTTGCTTAAGGTGAGTAATATTTTTTAAGTATATCTCACCAAAACGACATCTGAAGGATTCACGTTTTGAAATTTTGGTTTATTTGAGTACAAATACTCTGAGTGTATTATGTTAACTGTTTGAATTTACTCGGGACACTACTGTTTATCGTTCTTTATTTAACTCAATCATTGTATGTACTTTTCTGGGAACACGATTTGTGTGACCATTTACATTAATTAGTTAGAACAGATTAGTTGACGGTTAGCGACGTACTTACTGAACGTGAATAACAAGTTAATTTGTACAATTTTTTGACGCAAGTGTAAAATAACATTAAATAGAACTAAATTACATATAAAAAATTGTTGCCTTAAAAATAATACATCCCATTTTTCAAAAAAAGATTAATCTGTCATCATTCGTAATAATGAAATCACGTTTAATGGGTAAAGAAAACTATCAACATTGAATTATTATTATTACTATTATTATTATTATTATTATTATTATTATTATTATTATTATTATTATTATTATTATTATTATTATTATTACAATATTTCTTTATGATGTACCCCTAAATCTTATTCTTAACATAATCAAGGCTCGTGAATTGCAGTTATCATCGAAAATTGGTGATCAGATGTTGGAGAAAGAAACACAAGGTGCATTTGTTAACCCTAATGAACCAGCTCGTCTGATTTCTGGAGTACATTCACCACAGTTTGAAAGCGTACTAAAAGCTGCTGAAGAATTTGATAAGGTATTCTCTCATAACTTTTGTACTCTAATTTACTAATCCGTATATATTTGTGTATATACTCTGAGAGATAAGTTTTTTTAAAATTTATTTTAAACAGTATTGAGCTTAGTACGATATACGTCGTTAGTACTGAGAAATAGGAGAGGATAAAAAACGATTATGGATTACGTAACGTTAATTTGGTGGTCAAACCTTTGGAATAATAACAATTTAGCGTAAAGTTCATATCCTAACCCACGAATGTTGACTTACGCAGTTGGACGTTGTCACTAGACCCTCCCTGCGCTACTACACAATGTAAATCAATGTCAAGTGCTTAACCATTGTGCTCGGCATGTAATTTATTAACATTGACAGCATGGATGCAACTAGACGATTTAGACTTCATAGATGACCTTGCTCTCCTATCCCATACACATCAATAAATGCAGATGAAAACAACTAGTATGACAGCAGTCTCTGCACCAGTAGACCTAATCACACACAAGAGCAAAAGCAAGATCCTGAGGAACAACACAGCGAACACAAACCCCCAAATGCTCTGAGACAGCCAAGGGTGAGGAGAGTCAGCTCTCCCTTTCAAAATGCTCTCACATGGCCATGCGTATACAGCCGCTGTTAGGGAAGCCCTACTTACTTTCTTCTCGTGTCGAGGGTGCTATTTATAAAATTGAGAGCACGAAAAGTAAATGTCTTGTGCATTGATCGGGCTATTGAACACGTAGGATCCACCGCTGATGGGTGGCCGATGCTCCTCCACGAGGGGAGACAGTCTTATGTAAGTTAGCAAGACAATTAGGTAATCCAAACTTCCTCTTTACCACAAACTCTACCTTTTTCCTTAGCATATTTTATATATTTGTCTACTATAATTCGTTTAATTCTAAATTTTTGTTTTCCTCATTTAGATCGAACGTCGTCTTAGTGTAAGGACTTCACACTTGGATGCGATTTCCTCCTGTTCTACCGAATCACCATCTGTCGACTCAAATATTACAAATGAAGCAAATGGATCCATTTCAGGTACTGTATCTTGTAAAGATATGTTGTCTGATATGATGAGTATCATGTCGAAATATGTTTTAAAAAAATATATATTACGTTTTAGTTAATGGTTTGTTCGTACTCGGTTTGTTAAACGTATTTCGTTTGCCAGTAAATTTGTTAACTATATTGCACTGTGAGGGGATTTTGTTGATTATTCACAGTCTTTCTTTTTCGAACAATCTTTTTAAAATCATTTTATATATTTCCCTTATAGAATCCAGTGCAAACAAACAACGGTTTTCCACAGGAAGCGATAAAACACTTTCAAATGATAACGTCATTAAATCGATTTCAGGAGGTGTTGCAACGGCTTCTGATTCATCTAATGAACCTTATCATCCTATCCCTACTGGCACTACTGTTGCTTCTATGACTACAACTGACAAAGTTTCTGAACCAGGAAGATTGACTGTCATGCCATCATCATCATCATCGCCTAAATTAAATAATCCCATTAATGTTAAAGAAAAGTTAGAAGTAGGTAGATTTTTTTCATCTGAGTAAATATTCTATGTTTTAAATTCTTTTTTCCTAAACCTTAATTTAAGAAGGTTGTTTTATTATTGAAATATATATTAATTATCAAGTTTCTTATGTAGATCATGATCACATGTGACCTTTTAGAGAACTTTTTTCTAAATTTTTTGATGGTTAAGAGTGGTTTTCTTAGACATTATCTCTTTCACTTCTGTTGTTGGGAGTTCGCAGTTAGGCTAAACTTCACAATGTTTTGGAAGTTTTTAACTATTCTTCTTAAGTACAGTATTTAGTTTTTAGCATTTTAAATTTTTGATAATTCGATGGTTAATTAATGCTTATTTAAGTGAGGCTTTTCTAGTTTTGTAGTTGTTACTCGTCTTTTCCTAATCAATTAATTGTATTTAATTCCACTTAATACAGAAAAAGAAGAAAATGTCAGTGGATTTTAGTGAGGACGATGAATCTATGAAGTCATATGGTAAAGTTACCAATGAAGAACTTCAGAAAAAATCAAATGATCAAGTGCTGACTAAACGGAAAAAGTTAAAACGATATTCGCGAAACGAAAAACCACATATGCAATCGACAGATATTCCTATGTTAAATCTATGCGCCATCATGTCGCATAATAGCTCTCGTCAAACTGAAAGGAATGAAAAATTCAATCAAGTGAAATAGTAAGTTATTTGTATTTTAAAATGTATATATTACTTTCAGTTTAGTCGTTCAAATAACTAGTAATGATAATGTAACTCACTATGTGTAATATTTTTGCACTCAGTTTTGGTCTGTGCTTATGTCAGAGGTAATCATAATCTAATGAGGGTGTTTCTTTTATATTCTTTTATATCGTTTGTTTGTTGCTTCTCTGATAATCATCAGGGTTAGCAGACATTCTGATGTAAGTGTTTCTTAGGATCACTCCTAATACATTGATATTTAAGAATCTAATAATTGTACCATTCATCTTCGGCTATCGGCAACGCCACTGAACAATTAAATGACAGTCTATGTCTAAATTTTTTCGAAAGAATATTGTGATAAAGTACAATTGTTCCGTTGTAGATGTTCGGTTCGCGTTGGCATTTTTCTATTTCGTATAATTTGGTGGTGATTTGTTGATCAGAAGAATATGTTTCGCAGTGTTAGGATCTCCTGGATAGAATTTGTGGAGACTATGGTTTTTAGTAAGAACAATAATAATAATGTCACAAATAAACCATCCAGCTCATTGGGAATCAAACCACTGAAATATGTTAATCATGCTACTTGAATGTTTAGACGGAAACAGGTAATAGGATGTTGGAATTTAGACATTCATCGTCATTTGATCACATCTTTCTCTAATCCATATTTTAATTATCACTTGCTATGTTTGTTATTTATCGATTTATTCTCTCGTAATTTCAGTGCTTTGAATAAGCGTGTAGCGGCTTTACAATCTAGGCGTAAGAAAGCTGAAGAGCTTTTAGCGCTTTCTAAAAATATTGAACTCGAAGAGGTCGAAGTTGTTCGTTTAGAACGTGAAGCCTTGAACGTAAGTATTGTGTTTCCTTATTGCGATAACTTTTTAGGAAACTCATCATGCTCTTTTTCATATACTGTATTGATTCATATTAATTGTGAGATGGTGATAGTTTGTATTAAGCTTTCGGCATCAATGCTATAGCCTTATTACAACGTTCGAGTTATTCGTATTTCACAAATGTAATTATTCCCGTCATCAATTCTTATGTTACCTAACTGTTATCAAAAGGAATAATGTTTTATTGCATGCAATCTAGTCTTATTTATCGACCTATCATTTTTTTATATACATCCAATTTTATTTTTACGTTCTTAAGAACTATGAATTTAGTAGATTTTGCCTACCATGAAATATCGAGTTGTAAAGCGAAGTGTGTGGTGTAAATTTATTAGAGTTTGCTTTTTGTTTTTCTCTTCATGTCTTACTAGGCTATCCAAAGTAAACGTTTAGCTTTGCATGAAAATCGGTCCCAGTTATCAAACGATAATGAATCGAAAAAATATTCAACATCTAGTCATTGGTCGAAGAATAGTGGCTCTAAACATTGGAGATCGAATTCTCACTCACCGGTTTGTCAACGTTCCAATTACTCGCAATATAGTGATGAACTTGGTTTAGAAGAGCCTGGTCATGATAAAACTAATTCTGAGCAATTTCCTACAGCTTCATTGGGCAGAAGTTCTAGCTTGTTAAAATGCGATAGAACCAAGTATATTATTTCATTAAAATGAATTTATTATAGTCTAAGATATGTTACATACCTACTTATTTACCCCTGTTAACCCTCATGGAGGAGCATCAGTCTCCCACCGGCATCCTCCATCGAACTCTGTTCTGGCCTCTCGTTTCCAGTTGTTTTCAATGGTTATTCATTCCTTTGATGCCCATTTCCAATTTCCAACGCAATGTTTTCTTCAGTCTTCCCCTTTTACTTTTGTCTTCAGGATTGCAAGTTAGGCATTTCCTCGTGATGCAGTCGGATGTTTTCCGTAATTTATGACTTTTCCACCTCCAGAGTGTTCTCCGAATTTCCTTTTCAGATGGTAGCTGGCTTGTTCTCTGACACAGTAGGTTTTTGCTGATGACATACGACCAACGGGTCGGGAGTATCTCATGTAGACAGTTGTTTATAAATACCTGTACATTTTTGATGAAGGTTGTAGTAGTTCTTAAAGTTTCAGCTTAGTACAGTAGAACTGTCTAGCTGTTTGTGTTGAAGCTTCTGACCTTGGTGTTGATTGATAGTTGTTTTGAGTTCCGTATTTTCTTCAGCTGTGGGGATGCTGCCGTTGATTTGTCAATCCTTGGCCTTAACATCTGCATCATATACTCCTTGTTTGTCGATGATGCTGTCCAGATACGTGAAAGTTCCCACATCTTCCATAACTTCTCTACCATGTATGATTGTTATTTATTTATTTGGACACATAAATACTGGTAAAAGAAGATGCCACATACATATGCGTCTAATCCACAAGGCAGTGGACCAACGTTAGGAGATTCAGTCCGATGATAGCCGGTGACCAACAATATGTTCATACGCCTTTTGATCCCATGGAGTCCTAGATCCCTACGTGCACCAATGTTTTGAAATCAGGGTTTCCCAACTTCCCTAAGTGGATCCTACGAGTCCACCTGCCCGGTCAAAGCACAGGACATTCAGTTTCCGTCCTCTCAATTTTATAAATAGCACCCTCGACACGAGAAGAAAGTAAGTAGGGCTTCCCTAACAGCGGCTGTATACGCATGGCCATGTGAGAGCATTTTGAAAGGGAGAGCTGACTCTCCTCACCCTTGGCTGTCTCAGGGCATTTGGGGGTTTGTGTTCGCTGTGTTGTTCCTCAGGATCTTGCTTTTGCTCTTGTGTGTGATTAGGTCTACTGGTGCAGAGACTGCTGTCATACTAGTTGTTTTCATCTGCATTTATTGATGTGTATGGGATAGGAGAGCAAGGTCATCTATGAAGTCTAAATCGTCTAGTTGCACCCAAGCTGTCAATTGTATTCTGTGGTTCTCGTCAGATGTGTAGGTCTTAATCCAGTCAACCACCAGAAGAGAAAGAAAGATGGAGAATAAGTAGCCTTGTTTGACACTAGTCCTCACTTGGTATACATCTGTCAGCTGTCCTCCATCTACGAATTTGCAGTGTGGTCCGTTGTATGAGTTCTGTATGTTGTTCATTTTCTTCTCAGGTACACGATATTGTCAAAGAAGGTTCTCTTATCCACACTGTCATAGTCGAGGAAGTTGATATACAGTGACGTGTTCTATTCGATTTATTGTTCATTGATGATCCACAGTGTCGCAATTTGGTTTGTGCGCGACCGATCCTTACGAAATCCAACCAGTTTTTTCCGAAGTTGAACGTCTATTGAATCTTTCATCCGGTTCAGCAACACTGTTTAAAACATCCCCTCGTACCAATAGTAGTGTAATGCCTTTTGTTTTCGTATTTGCTGAGATCTTTCTTTGATATCCTGATGAGGTATCCTTCTTTGCAGTCTGTCGAAACTTGTTCTTCGTCGTACTCGGTGTTGTTCATCTCGACTTCGGCGTTTAAATCTCCCATCAGGATTGTCAGATCCTTTCCTGAGCACTTTTCTACGATCGACTGCAGCTTCTCATAAAACTGATCTTTTTCGGCGTCGTTGCCATCATTGATGGGTGCATAACATAAGATAACATTCATTGTGATTCCCTCCTTTGTTTTGAATGATGCTTTGATAATTCTGGATCCATGAGATTCTTATCTTGTAAATGCTTTTCTTGCTTTTTCGAAGAGCATTTTCTTCATGACCAGAGTACAACACGACTTCTCCCGAAGTTGGTATTTTCTGTCCAGCTTGGGTCCAATGAGTTTCGCTGATTCCGTAAACCGTCAAGTTGTATCTCCTCATTTCAATAGCTATTTGATCGGTCATCATGGTCTTTCACATTGTCCGAACATTTCATGCCCCTATGTAAATTGTTGCTCTGGTTGTTAGAAGGGGTACCAGCCTCGTGACTTCCGAAGGGTCTCGGCATTCATCTTGAGGCGTCATAATTGTTCTGGAAGAAGACCCTTCTCGCAAGACAGAGTTTAAATTGTTTTTTTCCGATTAGCGCTTTTTTTACTAAGTTTGTTTTCTATGGGATGGGGTTGCCAACCTGATGCCTAACGCTCCTTTATCCGTGTTTGGTACCGGCAGTAACCTTAGGAAATAAAATACCATTTTTAATTATAAATCGGTTTTTCTGCTCTTCTGCCGTAAATGGTTGTTAAATGTTTGAAACATTCATTTCCGATAATTCTGGCTTTTAGCAAATTTTATTTCATATACATATTTCTTAGTCAGTTACCACCTTATAGCGTAAATTCCACTGTCACTTTAGATAATTTTAATGTAACTCGTTTATTAAGTAAACATTTGTTTAATTGTACGATTATATACTACAAATTTTGGTGATAGTACTCGGCTGCTGTAACTGAGATTGGTAGGAGTTATGTCCATACATTTGAAAGCCAAATACTTTATATTCTAAGCCACTACTTAACTGTAGTTCACTTTATGTTTTATCAAATTCTGCTTTCAATAAACTGTCATTTCTGGGAGAAAGTTTGACTTAGATTAGGATTTTGTTGCGCAAGAAAATACTCAGAAGGTTCTCTGGAGTTTCATTGAATTCCATTGAACTTGTTAATGTAGCGAGTCAAATGGCTCTGATTTTTATGTTTAGATATTTTCATCCACCTACTTTAATTACTGCATGAATGTGTGCCCATAAAATTTGTTGATTTTGTGAAGTTGAAATTTTTAAACATGCTTGTAATATCAACTTAGCAACACCCACCATCATCTTAGCGTATATTTTACCTCTGATTTTAATATATAGCTCCAATACTGCTTCTGAATGCTCCACTGCTCGGACAGTGTCTACTGCTACAGATTTAAAATATTGCAAGTCCGACTCGGATTCAAACCGATCAGTTTCACATTCTGAGAAGCATCATTCCAATAATTATAAATTAATACCAAATCGATGCAATGAGAAGTGTGCATCAAATTTATTAAGCACTGAAAATGATGATAATATTAGTCGAGTTTCCAAAGTTTCAAATTGTTTTCCAAAACTTGATATTGGAGGTGAGCTTTATTATTTTTTAAAAGGATGATGCTACTCACCAAACCTACCTTTTAGATTTTCATAGTATAGATCACCGATTAATCTTAGTCGAACAATCATTGAAAAATAGGACGTGCTGGATAACCGATTTTTACGTTTCGGCTAGAAATCGGAGATCAAATCAAAAGATTTTGGTGCGACGTGGACTGAAGATTGTATATTTCATTTAAATTACTTAAGAAATCAAGCTAACTCGTTCAGCAAGTACTTGGGTATGAGTCACTGTCAGGGTGAGAGTTAACGATACTACCCGGTTGTCTAAACTAAAGTTGGAAAAGTGAAGTTCAGACCTAAAACTCAATAGTTAGAAGTCGAGTCAGTCATCTACAATGTACGATCAGACACATATATACATCGGTTCAAGTTGCCACACCTCATTAGCACAACAAGAAAGAATTAATTCGTAGAAAAAAAGGCATAAAGTAGTTTTATTATCATAGTTTAAGAGAAGGCAGTGAGTGTATACACCAAAACCATTGTGATCGATTGTGAACCATATCACCCAGAGTATCTAACCATTGGTTACGATAGTCACACGGATTCCAACCAAGTAGTCTACATCTACCACCATGGATCAGACCAAAAGTTAGTGACTTTATAGACTGATGCTACGTTTCGGTTTGGCCGTCCCTAACTTTCTTCCAACCGTCTCCAACACTAGTCAGCAGTGCGCGTCGAGGTAAACACTGTCCTGGTACACATAACACGTGGCCCAACCATCTCAGTCGATGAAGATTAACAACCTCATCAACTGATTTACCATCATTACCTAATATTATGTGTCTAACCTCACTATTACCTACCAGGTTCTCCAAGCAGATGCTGGTAATATTTCCAAGACATCTGTGGCCAAATACTAGTAGCTTACGTTTCGCAGCCGTAAAGTGAAAAAGAACTAACTGCTTAGCAGTATACTCGTCCCTTAATCGATAGACTTATATCTCGCCTTCGCCATAAGTGGTGACGTAGGTTGGCAAAAGGCGAACGAGCTTCTTGAATCTGTACGGAGGTTTCGTCAAACACCAATCTATTAGGGTTGATAACACTTCCAAGATAAGTGAAGTTGTCAACACGTTCGACTGCTTCACTCCCTATCCTTAGTTCAGGTGTTGACGCAGGCCAGTCCTGAAGCAACAACTTGCATTTAGATAATGAGAAACTCATTCCAAACATCCTGGAATTGTCGCTCCGTGCCATCAAAGCACTCTGCATTTCATCAGCGTCTTCACCAAACAGAACTGTGCCATTTGCGTATTCTAAGTCAATAAGTGGACCTCATGGTAGGAGATCAAACCCTGAAAACTCAGTCGATGAACACTTTATTTCCAGCAGTAGGTCTATGATGGACTTAGAAAAGATAAAGTACGGCCTTGTCGGACACCACTTGAAGTTGCAAAATCAGATGACAACTTTCCATAAGCTCTGACTCAACCACTAGAAATGCTCAAGTGAAGAGCGTTCACAAGGTTTATGCACTTCTGAGGTACACAATTCAGTGACAGACACTGACACAGAACCTCTCGGTCTACAGAGTCAAATACTACTCTGAAGTCAAGCAAAATCGTCATTGTCGGATACCGATAAGTATGCCTGTGTTCTAGAACCTGCCGAATAGTGGCTATGTGGTCAATGCAGCCACGACCAGCTCTGAAATCAGCCTGATTTTCTCGTATTTGCATTTCTCGAGTCTTTGTTAGGCATCCAGTATTTATTGAGGCTAGTATTTTAGATGCTATATTAGTCCAACTAATCCCTCTATGGTTATCACAGGACGATTCTGACCTCTTCTTATATATTGGAACAATCAGTGATTGCGACCAGTCAGATGGGATTACATCCAACTCCCAGATTTGAGCTAACAATTTGGTTAACCTAATCACCAATATTTGACCACTATTCTTGAAGACCGCTGGAGTTAATCTATCTTAACCAGCTGCACTCCTCGTTTCAGATTGGGTAAAGCTTGTTAAACTTAAATTATAGTCGGAAGGAAGGCCAATTTCCAGGTTCCATTCAGGTTGTCTGGGAATGGTGAATAGTTTTAGAGTAGCTGAAGGCCAGCTGAACTGCTCCTTGAAGTGTTTTAACCATCGTTCTAAACATCTGGACTGCGAGCAGATAAGATTGTCGTCTTTTTCCGACATCGTCTCGCTTACACTTGACTTCTTAACTCTAGTTTCTTTTATTAGTCTGGAAAGCTGTCTCATGTTACCTACAGCCTCTGCCTTTTCCATTTCGTTTGCTTTCGTTGCCCTTCACTGTTGTTTATGCTGTCCAACGCAGTTTTTTTTCAATAGATGTAATAAAATTTACAATTGCATTAGCATAAATACACGAGCTAAATTTGCGTTTTTCTTCAGCTTTTGAATTCCATTGTCAATTGTATTGAAGCTAGAGTTGCGAATAAATAGAGACAACAAATATAAAACATACATATTTAAATACCTAGTTGTTTCTAATTTTCCTAATTCTGTTAAATGATTTTTATATCTTGTTCTTTTATGGTAATTTGTCATTGCCTCAGTTAAACATTTATGGTAGCAACAAGAAAAGTATTGAGCTTAATCTGTGATTTTTCTGGTTAGAGTAATAATTTAAGTTAATCTCTCTTGTTTCAGTTGAAACTACACCATCTTTACGTAATTTGTTAACCTGCGAAGTCGCTACACCATCATTAGATCGTACTATGACTCCGACTTCTAGACACGTACGTCAGCGTTCAAATTCTCATGATTCTGGTCGTCGAAGACGTGTCACTGTCCTTAATTCAGTCGATTCAATGGATGAGGATGGTCGATTGTTTGGCGTTGGAGATGATGAACCATTTTCTACAGTATCGGCCAATTCACATTCCGATCTCAGTGAATTAGAATCACGAATTCAAGCTCTGAATTCCAATTTGAAAAAACAGGAAAGCATTCTATGTCGCATCAATGTAGAATATAAACGTGTTCATAAAGATCGCCTAGCAAGATTAGAATCCACTTTGCTGAAACATAGACAGGTAATTTTAAATATTCCATACAGATTATACTATTTTTGTTATCTTACCAGTTTGATTAATTTTCATGAGAACGTTTTAATCACTGAAATAACTAGAATAATTCTTATTGATTGATGGTGAGAAGTGAATATATGACTGTGTTATCTACTTATCACCCTCAGTTTGTCTTGACGCAACTTCGTGACTTGTGGAACTAATCACGTTATCTATAAGTCTAAACGTTAGTAAGGAGAAGGGTAAAAAATAAAGTTATTTATGGAAGCGATTGAATAAAGAAAAATAATTAAACTTTATGATAAGAGGCTCATTACCACAAATCACTGTTACTTATTATGATTTACGAATGTGTAATATAGATTTCATCCTACTTTTAATTCTCAAGTAGTGTAAAAGAAAACGTACAAATGTAAGGAGCTGTAGATGAGCCGGAAAATCGAAAAGAATATTATTTCTGAATTGTCTAAAATTTGAATAGTGAATTTCAGATAAAATGGTCTCCATAAACATGCCACCATCTTTCAATAGAGTTATTAGTGTAAAATATCTAAGTTACTTGAACTTTGTAGAATTTTTCTGTCATGTGTATGTTTGTTAATTTATTTTGTTTAAATTTTTTCAGCTTTGTACAGAAATCATTGCCAATATCAAAGCTGATTTAGATGCTTGCAGAGCATCTGTATGTACAGAGGCTAATGATTCTCATTCGAAATCTATGAAGAAAGTAATCGATACAGATAACATTTCTTATATATCACCATCAAAATCTTTGAATAAAACAACACTTGACAATCTTAACGATAACAGTATCTCTTGTGCATCGTCGAAACATATTGATAAATTAGCTTTATCCAGTCACATTCTCACTAGTAAGCACTCAACAAACGATGATGAAACTGAACCGGACACATTAATTTCAGTGGCTGAAGAATTAGTATCACCACAGGATACTGATGATGAATTGAAGCAGCTCGATTTAGATGAAGATATTGACCGTAGTACACCAGTTGCCGAACATTCTCCCAATTCAACGAACAAAAATACCACATATTTATCCAATGCTGACGTCAGTGCTGTGGAATCTAAGCAAACAATTAGTTCTGAAGTGTCGAAAAATAAGCGTTGTTTGTCTCCTTCAGTTCATACAGAATCGTCATATTATACAGATTTTCAACCGAGCTCTGAAGATAACAATTCTAAATCACTAAATACTCAAGATATTTTGCATAAAAAGGAGATTGAAAAGGAATCCAATAACACGTCAATGAAGTTTATAATTAACTCAACTGACAAAACGTTAACGGGACAAGTGAATCAAACAGACAATGTGTTTTCTAATCAGTTAGCTCCCAAAAATTTTACTAACGAATGGTATGCTTTTAAAGCTTTCATTATGAGTTTTTTTATGTGTGCAATTTTATATGGATTTTCGAGGTTTTCCAATACTTTTAAGGGGTTAAACGTAGCACTATTCATTTTTTAATAACCTTTATCACAAAGTATAATTTATAATAAGCGTTTATACTTTTCATTTCCGATATATATATTATGCTAGAAAGAACTGTAGAATTTCGTAAACAATATAAAGGGTGCTGCTATTTACCCCTTGTCTTCAACATGCTTGACTATTTCCAAAAATTAATCAGTTTGTATAATCACCAAGTAGAGTTAGTATTTTAAATTCGTTATACTCTATTTTGAATTATGACGGATGGTTATATTACCAAGTACAGTTGTTTAGGTTTATCATCAGTGTTGCCTAAAATTGCTTCACTTATGAATAAAAACGATTAAATCTCACGAAAACAAAAATTACTTTCAGTCAACTTCAAAAAAACAGTTGAAGAACATATGGAACACAAAACAACTGTCAACCGATATCAAAGTCAGAATCTTCAATACGAACATCAAGAGAGTTCTACTGTACTGAGCTGAAACTTGGAGAACTACCGCAACCATCATCAAAAAGCTACAAGGATTTCTAAACAATTGTCAACGTAAGATCCTGAATGTCCGTTGACCGGGTACCATCAGCACTATCCTACTGTGGGAGAGAACTAACCAGCTGTCATCTGAAGAGGAAGTTAGGAAAAGACGTTTTTACGTGGATAGGACATACACCTCGGAATTCACTAAACTGCATCACGATGCAAGTGCTTACTTGGGATCCTGAAGCGGAACGAAAAGAGGAAGGCCAATGAACACTGCGCCGGGAATCGGAAGCAGACACCAAAAGAATGGATAGCAACTGGAAAGGATTGTCCTGGACAGAGTTGGATGGAGAATGCTGGCAGGTGGCCTATGCTTCTCTACGAGGAGTAACAGGTGCAAGTAACTTCAAGAAAATAAAACGAGATTTTGTCTATGATTCTTCATATTATCGTGTAAACTTTGGGCTTGGCACATACCCATTTAAACACTTCACATAATTTTTGACCTCATGTTTTTTTGGTAAGTGAAATTGAAAATGTTTTTTCTGCTTATTCGTCTGTCGTTCTTATATTAGAAATTATAACATAGTGTGTTCATTTTGTTGCCGAAAGTATCACATAACAAAATGATTTTCATTCGCTTTTAAATCGTGAACTGTAGTTTTGATTGTTTGTTTTTTACCTTGTATTTGTGAGTATAATTACTGTAAAACAGTCTTATGATTATTTAAGTGCACAGTTTGACTGCATGAGGACAGTTATACATACATTCATTGTCATATATATATATATATATATATATATATATATATATAACATCAGTTCTCGTTACATGTGTGTTCTTCAACCATTTGCTCTCTGTCGATTTTCTTAATGGTTCAATTGAAACTTACACCTATATTTATACTGACGAATTCTGGTGCAAGTGAACAAATGAGTTGTTTGCTTACACACATTTGTGGTATATAAGTGTCTGTGTGTCGTGCTATGCTCTCTTACCTTCTGTTGTCTCAAGGTTTGTAAATATGCATACTAATGTGTGTGCATATTAATCTATAGAGTGAGAGAGAACGTAAATATATGGAAACCTCTATTATAGTATTTTTGTCTTTCAGTGCGTATGTATGTGCTTATAGTTAGTTACCGCACACAAATTACATTCTATATTGACGTGATCTCATCGATTTGAGAAAAATAACGGTACCTAACTTTAACTAGACTATGGACTAGTCACTGTATCATGGCAATATATATAAATGGAATTTTGGTGATTAAAATTCATTTTTCATACTTAACTATATATGTATATAAACATAAATGTAGAATACAGTCAACACACAAGTTTCTAACAATTTAAAAAATATATTTTACAAACGAGATTCTCTTCGAAATCTAGTTATTTTCTCATTATATATTTAAGAAAAGGATTTCACGGTGAGCCTATTTTCATTTTTTAAATGGTCTAATTATATCATCTGAATCATTCTTCGTCTATTACGGCTTAGTAACAATAATAATAATAATAATGACAATTATTTTGTTGCTTAATATGTCTAGTGTATAAGATAATGTTAGAAAAAATTGTTAGAAATAGCGTAATTTAACCAAATCAAGGCGTTTTTGATAAACAAACTGATATACGGGTAAATAAGTATGGCTTGATGCAAATATTTATCCAGTTGAACTTATTTTACTTCACTTTAATAAATGTATGAGATTAATAGGATAAGTGAATAATATCATGAAATATTATTCTGTACAGGGAATGATCTATTTCACCAATAATAAAGTCATGTGATTATCTGTTTAAATCAAAGAAGGTATATATGTTAATAAATAATACCAATGTAGGGCTTAATAGGTACACCCTTGGACGCCTAGGTAAATCTAAGCCTCGAAACGTTTTACATTTAGTTTATATATATGCCAGTTAGGATCAATGCAAACTCAGCGTTCTTGAAACAACTCTAGAGGTCAAGCGCGAGTCCGAAAGTCCTGGGTTCGAGTCCCGCGGGCGGGACTTTGGACGCACAATCCTGAGGAGTTCCGTACTAGGATGAAACAGCCATTCAATGCTTCCAGGTTTTCAATGGTGGTCCAGCTTAGATCTACTCATGAATTCAACTGTTACAGTACTACAATCTCCACAAATCCGCACTCTTGATAATTGTGTAAAAATGCTACTGTTGGTAAAGATAATCATTTTGTTGCGATTGTCATGATTTTTGTCATCAATAACTATCGTAAAATGTGTTGCGAATTTATTCTGATAAATGATTGATGGCGTTATGCATCATTTAATCGATTCAAAACGATATATCGGAACACTAAATTGGTTAATTTAAACAAAATAACTATGAGATCCCATCTTCTTTTATTTCAGTTCAGATAGGCGGGAGTTTTGTAGATCCACATCTATTATATAATTATTTTCTCAATATATATATATATATATTAGATTCATTAAATCACATTCTTTAACTAAAGTTTTTTTGTTCTATTAATAAGGTCAACATTAGATATTTTAGTTGTGATATTTATTAAATCAGATTCATATACTTTGAATAAATTTTTTCTATGTATATTCTTAACTATATTTCATGACATAAAGTATGGATACCGCTGTCTTTAAAATATTGTTATGCAGTCACAATCATAATATACCCACTACTTGATTGGATAGAATTAAGAGTAAGATCACTTACAAGGAACACTCCGAGAATAATCAGTAAAATTTCTTAAACGTTTTCGCAGATCTTTAAAAAAATTTAGAACGAATAAGGTTTTGTTTTAGCAGTCACATGCTCCAATAGAAAATAAGCATTTTGAATTGTTAAAAATAATTTATACCACAAATATTTAACTCTGAAGCTGTTGAGTTCTTTGAACGTAAAAATTTAATTGTAAAGCATTCATTCTCGTTGTTGAAACTGTCACTAATATCTACTTCAAGACTTTATTGAAGCATTATTGTAACTGGTGTATCTGCATGTTTGTTATGTAAGTATATCAGTCTGTCTCTCAAGACCTATAAGTAAAGTATTTAATACATACACGCATGAGATAAGTAGTTAGCTGATGTTTATTGCAAGTATTTATTCTCTTTAATCGATCGATGTAATGAGACAGTTGGAGCTAACTGATAATTAAAATAAGCAATGTTCTTTTGAGCGAAGTGCTGGATAAATCACATTTTATTTATGCTCATTAGATTACTGAATCTGTTTGTTTTTGATACAGAAAAGCTACAGTTTGAGAGATTCCAGACAATATTTACTGATCGTGTGAACAGCTCTACTGAAATCGCTGATTAATTTAAGGCTTAGTGACTAACTGAAATGCTGTTTTTAGCAGCCTGACTACGCAAATACTTTTATTTTAAATGATTTTCCATAATCATTGCTTTTTCGCTCATTGTTTTATTTGGAGATAATAACGTGAATCTTTATCAGTAAGTCAATAGCTAATGTACTTTAAACTACAAACTATCCTTTTTATCTGTTACCTAATTGCTTATTGTGTTTTCTATTCTCTGTTTCGTTAACTAGCGACCTAAATCATTCTGGAAGTTTGCTTTTTTTCATATGTTCGTTTAGTTGATTTTTTTTACATCAAAGTATTGTTTTTGTTTGAAATAATATCGAAATTAATCCATCTATCTAACCCATTGAAAGTTGATCAGTTTTAGAAAACTACGCACACACACCATGTTAACAAAATAGTGCTACTTCTCATTTACTATTTCAAGGTTTTTAGTGCACCTTACACATAGTTACAACATATTTAAATTATTTCTAAATAAGTCTTCCTATCGCTAACTTACAAGACATACACATATATGTGCGTATGCTTAAAATAAATTATGAGCGCGCTTTATATTTTGATTATTTCGCTATTTGAAGCGCACGTGCTTCTTATATAGTTAGAGTATTGAATAATGTCGCTAAAGTACTATTTTTGAACGAACCGCTTTCATCTTTCATTATGTGATTTATTATTTCTCTTCGGCATATATACAATATTTTTGTGTTTAGTGTATGACTGACTGCATCTGTATACAAATAGTTGTTTTTATTCTTTTACATTCATATCTAACCCAATTTTTGTATTCAGCAAACCGTGCGCAATACTGTTTGAGTTCGTTATCACTAACTGAAATCTCATTTTCGGTAGTACTGCTAATAATCTTTTTCTTGTCAGAGTGTTTGTCCATTCATCACTCAATATTGTTTATAATGGGGAATATTAGTAATAGTTATTCCAATCCTAGGAACACTAATTCGTCTTCACTAACCTCATCAGTTTCTTCCTCATGCTCATCCAGCCCATTAACTGTTAATATTACGAGATCATCAAGTTATCAGAGGTGAGTAATCCATATAAAAAATGTAACCGTATTTGAATGAGCCTGTCTGTGTGTGCTCTAGTTAATCAATGTACTATAGAGCAACAGTCAAATAAAAACAATGTGCTTTAGCGAGTTTTTATGTGCTTAAGGTGTTTTTTTACTTATCTAACTTTGTGAATACTAAATATTCAACTCTTCTATTCTATTTGTGTGCGACATTGTATTGCTTAACAGTTTTCTTTTCATCATTGGTAATTTTCATTTGTTTTTCTTCGTTTCATGCTATACAGTCCAACTGTCCTTGGTGTCACTTTTGCAGACAATGAATTTGAATCAAATGATATCTCATCTACATCTCCATTCACTACAGTTGCTGAAGCTAATTGTGCTACTGACGGAAAGGTTTCGACTGTAACCATTGAGGATTTCAACAACATGGTAGTATCCACTGATATTTCAGTTCCATCTGGGAAGACTAGCTTGCTTAAAGTCGCCACAGATCATCGACAAAGAGAAGAATTAGTTGGTCAAATTACCACTGAATTGCTAAACCAACTTGTCTCTGAAGCTATCGAATCTACATTGAATGTTCGAAAATCCAACTTTCAGGTAATACATCTTTGATAATTGGTTTATTACTTCACTGAATTAATAATTATAAGGATATTTATATTTTTCCTCATTACCGTCAGTATAGATTTTGTATTGTTTTATTTTCATCAACCTAAATAGGACGATACGCGCGTCCTAGATTCCATTGCTAGTCATCATCCATCTTCGTTTATAATGCTTGTGACTTAAGGCAGTATCGAGGCAATCCGCACAGGATGCACATATACCACTAAGAGACTGATCAATCGCGGTCGTAAGCATCAATAGGAAGATTCAAACAAGACGAAATGAATTCATATAACTATTGTTTATAGTTCACTCATCAGTGTTGACGTTTATCTGCTTTTCATGTTTCTTATCTGACGTAATTAAAAAAATAATTGCATGAAGAAAATATAGATTTTTAGGTGAAATTATAAATTATCCAAACACTATTCATTCCAGAGTGAGTTCGGGTTATAGAATTTATCCACAAACTTTTATGTGTAGTTCACGACAATAGGTGGGAGAAATGTATATTTATTGCGAGAAGTTACGAAGTGTTTACATAATTTAAGTGGAGTTATGTTCTCTGAGTTGGTTAGTTGAGTTGTGTAGTTTTCATTGTTTTTTGTGTACGATATCGTCAGCACAAACTCCATAATCCAACCATTTAGCTTAGATAACAATGCTCCACATAAATTATCTACCTGAGCCACAAATCTTATTTACATGATACCTATACAAAGCCTTCAATCGTCCATTTTCATCTTCTGGTGTGTTATACATTCTGAACTGTCTTCTTGACTGACCTCTAAGTGTTCTGCTAACCCCGTGGTTTCGATTCACTGAAACTCTTCTGTCTCTTTAAAAATTATTTCAACTTCGATAGCACCTTCCGACAGCCACTACTTAAAAACATCCTTGGGAGTAACGTCCACTGTAAGTACAAGCTTTTTTGTCACTATTTTTCCCATCGTTTGTCTTGCTGATGAGAGTGAGAGTTTAATAAAACAACAGGTTCTGGATATCACACGGTACTTGAAGTTCGCTTAGGGCCCTTCAGTTTTTTATTTTTACATTTTGAGACTGAAAAACATATGTATTTGTTTGGATTCGACTCCTAATATATTATCGTACATTTGTTATATATATATATATATATCCAATTAATAATTATTTTCTTAATATTGTTGAGGAGGAAAGACAACAGTTAATGTGAAGAAAAATAAGTGAATCGTAGTGTTTTTGGCAGCAATTTAATTTATGGTTATTCACTTTTGTCTAACAAATAGGTTAAATCTCCTGAAGATTCGGAAAGTGAGGACGATGAGGATGACTTGTTAGACGATGAATTACATCAGAGATCTTCAGAATCTCAATCCTCTTCGGAAGAGTCGGTGCCTTTATTAGATCTAGGATTAAAAGCACGTGAAGATTATGAAGAAAAGAGTCCTGAAACAGTGAAATCTAAATTCTGTGTTACTCCAGAACCGTCATATACCGTAGATAATATTAAAGGGCTATTTGCTGATACACCAGACAGAACACAGCCATTGATTCGTCTTGCTGTCAAACATTTTTGGGATGCCAAGTTGAATTCAAAGAGTGAATGCGAAGTTGTCCTATTGAAAGCTTCTAATAATCCTCCATCGGAATTCTCGCTTGATTATTATGACGAAGCAGGTAAGTGTTTAGATGTTTAGTATTGATTTTTCAAAGCAATATTAATTTATTCGTAAATATATGTAAGGGTTACTTGCTATAACCAATCAAACTATTTTCTATGGTCAAGAATAGATGTTCACTCATTTTATTGCTGTGATTGTAGCGTTTTTTATGCGTGTCGTAGCATATATTTTTGTAATTACCTTCAAAAAGTTGTATTTTCATTCAGTAGTAATGTTATCAATCGTATGTAAACATTGCACTGTATATTGCGTTAATTTTTTTTTCAAATCTGTCTTTTTGTGGTTTACAGATCTCGAATTGTTCAGAACTCAATCAAATGTGAAATTTATAAGTCGTGCTTTATTGTTTGATTTGATAAATGAAATTATACAAAAGATTTATGTTGGTGAGAATAATGACGTTGAATTACAAGAAAGGACAGTTAACTCATCTGAATCGAAAACGTTTCATCGCGTTTCAAGTGCTCAGTTTCGGCTTTGGCGTGGTCCTTGTCCGTAAGTAAAGACGTTTTAATGTTCAGCCTTTAATCTTTCTTTTGAAAAATTTAACTAAATGTGACTGAATTTGCAATCATTTTAAAACATTTTTCAGTTTTTCCATTGTTATGACCTTTCATTAATTAGGGCCACTGGTCAAATTGTTTTAACAGTCATTATGATTACATTTCAAGTTTCAAAAGTAAGAGTTTTATGAATTTCTATTACTTAATACATTAAATTTTTCTCAAAATAAACCCTACTATTCGAAAAATTGCATGCTAGTATTACTTATATATGGGAATGGTTGCTTCTCTAATTGTTCTGTTTCCTTTTTTTCACAGACCAACCACTTACAATCGTCTATTGACTATTGTTCAATCTGAAGTTTGTCGAGAATTGAATCTTAGAATAGAATCTAAATCGGAAATGCTTAATCACGGTGGTAATAAAACAAAATATTCTGGTTTAAATGAAGTGATACCGTCTGGTGTACGTTTATCTCGTTTAGTGCAATGGACATTAGCCAAAAAATCATGGTTAGATCGTGTGTTAGACCTGGAATTACGTGCAGATGAACCAAGTTGGTTATCGTATGTACCAGAAGAACGTGAGATTAAAATGAAATTAGCTCATGAACTATGGGAGGATATACTAGACGATGCTTTGAATTCTGTTCTAGCCTCAAATGCTTGCCATTTGTCAAAGTAATTTATACAAGATCATTCTGTAATTTGATTTTTCGTAATATCTAGAATACCAATCTGAAACTACTGTGATATATTTTTTTAGTGATTGAATGCTTTTATACAAAAATGTAACCATCAAATGTGTAGAAAAGAGGAAATATTGTTTGTATCTCAGATCTCACCTTATGTTGTTCCCACTTCCTCTCAAGCATATCACTTATCCGTAAACCGAATAGAACAGCGACAATCATATACGAATAATTTATATTCTATTAGCTTTTGTACATATATATACATATTCTTCCGCATGTTTTTTTCTCTTTTCCTACCCACTACCAATATGTTTAATTTCATTGTTACAATATGAAAAATACAAATGAAATGCTTATTGTATATTATTTGATTTAACATGCGTACTCCTATCGCTGTTATATATATCTAATATGCCTAAATAACCTAGTGCATTTGATTTGTTCTGCATCTAACATCGTTCTCCCTGTCCTCCCTCTATTTCTACTGTATGAGATTAATGTTGACTAGATTTTTCTTTCATATTTTTTTCGATTTTTTTTCTTCGAATAGAAATGTTACAATCATGTGTACTTTGTAATAGTTGCATGTCAATGCCTATTTGTGTTTACCCGTTTCTCTCATCCCTTGTTTGTTTGTTTTTTTCCCTGTATTCCTTAAAAGCCTATTAAATCAAACGATTCATGTTTTCTATTTATTCAATTTGTTTATAAATCAATGTACTATTCTCTCTAATATTGCAAATAATTTTCTTTATCGTAAGATAGAATAATGTATAATAGCGATAATTCACTATCATATAATTAGCATTAAAATATTTATTCTTTTCTAATGAATGATTACTCAAATCACACCCTACTTAAATCACTTAATTCAGTAAGCATGTACACTTATGCAAATATAAGGTATTATAGATACAATAAATGTTAAGTAAGAATTACAATTGAGTAGATAATAGAGTACTTTTATTTTTGTTGTTGTTGATGCTTATCAGATTTTTATCCTGTTTAATTGTTGTAAATGACCCTTGAAATCTCTACAATGTATAAAACGTGTTCTCTTATTTATTTAACCCAAGTTTTCTGATTCGAAAATCTTGAATTTTCATTCCATAAGAATATTATCATTCACGTACAAAATTCAGATCTTAAAGCTCTGATATAAGTCGCTCATTTGTTTATCTTCGCATCCCTTGTGTTACGTCCTGGTGTGTTGTCTCTGTTATGTACTTAGCGACCCTGTTGGGTCCACAGTCTTGCTGCTCATATTTGACAAATCAATACCACTGCAGTTTGAAGACGCAAATTAAGGACACGAATAACTGGTTCAGTGAAGATTTATTGGTTCTCCAAATACACATTTAATAATGTTACATAAAGGAAAAATATGTCGAGTTACTGTGCAAACACATTGAATATAGTTCACACTTGCCATTCTGAACACAGTTTATACTGAATTGATACAAGAAAATATTGACCTTTAAATGTCACTGTGAATGAGGTTCACACCTATAACCGTGTCCGTGTCATCTTTTTATCCCGTCATATCAGAGAATTAGTGCACAAACTGATGTTTTGGGTGGCTATAACCTTTCACTTTTAATGCTTGGAAACAATGCTTTGACCAATAGGCCGCTACTTGAACTGAATTAATGTTTCACAAGAGAATATAAGGTCAGGTCTGTTATATACTTATTAGCCCAATCAGAACTAAACGATAGTCATGTAAATCCTGATATAAAAAAATCTTCGAATATTCACTACTTTCTATTGGTATCATCGTCAACTAAAGGTCCTCATACTTTATATTTGTTATGTTTACTTGCACTGTCAAGTGTACGCTTCATGTTGCTAACAATTTTCTGATATCATGAGATGTATCTTGACCTAGTGTACACATTTTCTCAAGACTTCAACTTTGCCAAAAAAATTCGGCTATTCAGATTTAGTAATCATATCATAGTTTCTTTCTGATTACTTTCAAACGGTCATCATTAAAAAATTGTGGTCAAATTATTATACCGAACCAACAATATTTTAAAGAAAAGCATATTAAAATCGAAGCATCAGTTAAGCAGGGTTTCGTTTTGAAGTGATTAAGTAAATACAGTTTTTGGTGGTTTCATTGTGAGTTGTTTTAACATAAGTAGCCACTTTACCGACATTTGACGATTGGCTGCTAATTTTCAATTTTGTTGTAAGATCCTGAGTTGACGTAGGATGATGGCCGTCAGTGATTTGAAATTATGTTTATGATAGATTTCCCTTGGTATTCAGATTTTAGATGGAGAACCAAGAGTTTTGTCCTAAGTCGTTCAGTAATTAGTTGTGATCTATAAAACTAGTTTTCTCGCGATTTGTAGAATAACTAAATGAGCATTATTAAGGTTATGCATCCAGTGATTGGGAAACTTGTCAAATCAACTGGTGAGGCATTGAGTCTCCATCTACTGAAGTGGTTAGAATATGTGTTGCCTATGCCTAGTTACCGCCTACCTCAATCAGCGATCTTTGATTGTCTATCAGTGCATTTGAGGTAACTTAGGGTCAATGAAACTAAACATAGGAACAATCCGCAATGTTAGTGTTGGTGATTGAGGTTCTCCTGATAACCGTGCTCAGTGATTGGAGACTTGGTGACATGGCTCAGAATCGTCCGGAGTGACTCAGATCCATACACTTTCAATCTTCACCCATGCCTTGAATTCCAGTATCTCTTCATGCATACCTTTCCACCCTGTCTTTTTAAATCGTATTCTCAAGGCTAGGTCTTGATTTTATCGTTACTACTAGATTACTTCGGTCTTTTTTGTTGTTTTCATCTCTTGCTAAACTGGAATTTCAATGTGGATCAACACACAGTATCAAACTTCATACTGATATATGTTTATTGTAAAATTAGTTAGTAAAGGTCACAGGCATTGTTATCCGCTGGGAGAGTATGGTACAATCATACGGATGATTGCAAATATAGATTATGTGATTTTATTATTCCTCACATATATGTGTGTAGTAGATATGGGGATTGAAAGTTTTAAGAATTTTAATCTTGTTTTAGATTGAGATGGTAGGTTATCACGATTACACACCATCAGCCTCTGAATTATAAGAACAAACGATGACTAACGTCCCAACTGTTTTTTTATATCTGGCCCGAATTTCATCTTGTTTCTTTGAAAAACAGACTGATTATAATAACGACTAAATGAGTTCCAGTAATCCTGAAGGTGAATATAAGTCAAACACTAAGGAAGTATTATTAAGACATTGATGATCCCATTAACTAGTTTCTCTTTATCAGGATAATTCGTTGAATTTTTTTTTTGATCTGCTTTTCGTACAAATAGTTTCTTATTTTCACCGTTTTTTCTTCTTCAAAACTTGTTATGATGTTGAGAGATATAGTTTCAAAAGTTTTATTCTCAGAGATATGTTCTATGAAACTATATTTTGACTTCCTTCACATCCTAAGTGGCTTCTGAGTTTTGAAAAAGATCATTAGATTTTTTAAACTTACCATTGGGTTCTCTTAAACCTATAATATTTCGAAGATGTCATTTTTCAAAATCCTTCATGTTATTTTAAGAGTTTGTTGGATTTTATGGAGTTACAATAGAATTTTAATGGCTAAGATTGATACAAACCTACTGAATTATATTAACATACTATTTACGACTATCAGGATACTTAAAATATATAGATGTTATAGCATCTTATATTTTATCCAAATAAAAAGAATAGTGATCTGATTATCATAACACGTTAGTTGCACATAAAATTTCTCTATTTAACATTGAAGTTATCAAGAATGGTTCAAAGGAACATTTACATAATATTATCAGAATGGGTTTTGTGGAGATTTTTAGAAATTTCACTGGTTGAAATCATGAGTTAATTGAAGCTAGACCGCCATGGAAAACCTGGAAGCACTGGACGGCCGTTTCGTCATAGTATGGGACTCTTCAACAGTGCGCATCCACGATCCCGCACCCCGCGGGATTCGAGCTCAGGACCTAATGGTTTCGCGCGCGAGCAATTAACTACTAGACCAAGTTTTCTATGGTGGTTCAGCTTCAATTGACTCGTGATTTCAACCTGTGAAATTGACATAATATGCTATTCATTGTTTCATGTAACGTATGACCACAATGATATATTATTGAAACACAATACATGATAAATCAGAAGACATTATAATCTATGTTAGGAAATATCTTTACCTTGATTTCTAGAAATATGTATATAGTTTCATATAAAATTCTAGTGGTCCATACCTGATATATATATCACTTGTTCCATATAAGTAATATCTAACAAAATACTAAAACTTTGCATTTACTGTTATTTTATATTGTTACTGCAATCACCAATATCCCCCAAAAAATTGTGAATACAAAAATGAATTAAGAAAATAATAATAATTAATTGTTTGTTATAAATGATCAATCATATAAACCAATTAAAGTAATTACATATTTCTGATATGAATCACAGTACATGTGTGATTGTTTTGTTTCTTCGCTATAAAAGTTTTTTTTTTAAAAGAAGAAACGTACATCTAGCAAAGGAAACAATAAACACAAACAAACACACACACACACACATAAATGTATATGTATATATATACTGTTTACCTGAATAATGTCATCATTGTTGTATGTAGTAAACAACAGCATATTATGAAATAATTCAAAAAAGAGCTATATTCAAGAGAAATGGTAATTTGTATTACTTGTCTAAAGAAAGTATGCAATATTTAATGATTGAATGATACTAAGGAGTCACACGCATATGTATCCATAAAGTAAATGTAAAATATGTCTGAATAGCTTAACGTTATTGTATTCTTCATTGATCTGAAAAAAATATGATTATTGATATCTGTGTTTTATGATGAATGTAATTTGATAAATAAAAAGAGATCATTTACAAAACTTTATCACTAAAATCAGACTATTTTTTATGTAACATCTTAAAATATTATTGGAGATTTGTTTGGTTGCTATGAATTTTAGTTTTGTTTTCCAGAAGACATAACATTTATTCAATTTTATTCTTTGAGAAGAAATCAGTCATCATCTATTATCTTTAATGGGTAATATGAATGATGTATATACAGGTTGAATCCATACTTCTTTTTTTTTTAATATTCTTCATTAATAATGATTACTATATGTGATTCTTTCTTTATTCTTTGCTCTCTTTTTGTGTGTCATTGTTGTAAAGTTCATTTTTTTCTTGAAATTCAGTTTGTAATGAATTAGTTGAAGATTTCAATTCATTCGATTTTAAATTGTTTGATGATTTACTTCTTGTATCATTGATGTCTGAACGAATTGTGGATTTTCGATTTATTCGACCAATATTTGATAGAACACTTTCTGATCGATATCTAGAATCTTTTAAAATTGGATTACTTGATTTATACTCTTTAGAATCATTTTTTAACAGATCATTTTCTGATTGACCAATTCTTAATCTAAAGAAGAATAAAAGGAGAAATTATGTTGTTTTGTTTAATGAGTTAATTTTTTGTAAAATTAATTTCATTATATCAAAAGATAACTGAAGTAAAAACTCACTGGTTGAAATCTATTCAATATAGTTGTTAATTGGTCGCAGTACCATAGACTTATTCAGTCTTCATATTTTAAATTATAAGTTTGTACTTTACACGCTTCATAGTTGTAAATCATAGACTAACATCAGTTAAGTAACCATAGAAAACACGGAAACACTAGGGAAATATTTTGTCCATGTATGAGAATCCATAACAGTACGGAACGGATGGTAGCCATACGATATTGCGAATTGACTGAAGCTAAAAATATAACCAGTTGGATAGCACAGTAATCATCTGAATATCAAATGCTCACTGTGCAACCTGAAGTTTCTCTGTATGATCACTGTCAGGTTTGGAATAATGCTATATCAGAAAATATATCTGTCTAATGTAACTTTGTTCTTACTGATTGTATAACTGAAGTCAGTCTGTGATATAAAAACACAAAATTCAATAATCTTTTATGTTTAACTTCAATTTCGATAATATTACCATTCTTTGAACTAATTTTTTTGATACTAATTCCCTCTGCTGATGAAGAATGTGAAGGTTTAGACAAATGTCCTTTTTTTGTCAGACCCTCATGATCGAATAAATTGTAAATAATTTATAAAATAAACACAATTTATACGTTTAGACATTACCATATGAAACTCAGGGTTCACTCATTAAAGTCTTTATAGGCATCAAGTCAGGTTTGTAAAGGTATGCAGCTAAGCAATTATCAGTCAATTCAACAAACACCTCATTGATTGAGATTGAAATTCTAGAAATCATGTTACACGTTTCGGAAAATACTTAATCAGTATATGTTTGTATGTATACAAAGTAATCGATTTCTGCTTTCAAAATCATCATAACAAGGAAGCATGAAATGCCAAATATTTCATTGAGAAATAGAGAACCATATTTAACGTGTAAATACTTGATGTTAAAATATAAACAATTCATTAGCTACTTTATGAAGTACCCAATACACATTATAAAACCTATTCCGAGGCCCCATTTTAAATTCGTTACTTGCATACCTATTGGTTGTTATAATATGAAAATGAAGACAACTATTGATATTTATAATGAATTCCTTATGTAAAAATGAATCGGTACCTCGCTTCATATGATACGAGATAAATAAGCCATCCTAATCTTATTAATTACTTTTGTACTTAGTGAGACGATGATCAGTAGACTATCATATTTTATTTAGAGGTAATCGATTGCCTCGTTTATATTCCTGGTTTTATGGATTGCTATTTGATCAAATAAAATTATATCACAACTGCAACTACAATTATAGCGAAAATAATCTGATTGAAATGGTGTCTGCTCGGTCCACTCAGAGAATGCGACACAACAGATATATATATATATATATACTGATAAATACAACATAAAGTATTTACAGAACTTACCTTTGTTTTACCAAATCATCACTTGTGTCATTAATATTTTGTCTACTTCTTCTTTTAAACAAAATGACTTCTCTTTGATAACCATCGTCATCATCATAGTCTTCAGTTTCGTTTGGAATATCTAATATATTTAACCATTCATCTGCCATACGAGTTTTGGTTGCACGTCTTAATGAAGCTGTTTCACGTGAAGCGCTTAAATCGGCTTTTGCACGTACTAATTCAGCATCTAAATCGATGCTGCGACGTTCCAAACCGGAAATACGACTAGTGTAATGAATAACTTGATCCTCTAATTCATGAATTTTCCATTTTTGATGTTGATTAACACTTCGTAATTCCATTTCTGATGCTTGTGTCGTTTGCAATTCAACCTAATTATTTAAAAAAAAAATTTAGCATTAAAAAACATTACAATATGTGTTACTATCTTATTTAAAGATGAATATGTTTTTACTCTAAAAAAGTGAAATGACAAAGTGTTGAAAACAATTTTTGCAATAATCATATTGGTGCTTGGCATTGATACATTAAATCATTGACTGTTAGTGCAAATGTCAGGGAAAATTAAAATTTACGGCGAGAGTATAATTTATGAACAAGTCAATCAGAAGCGAAGGAGAGATTTCACAGCCACGGCACCTGCTCGTGTTCTATTGGTTTACAACGGATTTCAAAGAGGCCGTTACAGGTGAGCGAGTACAATAGATGGGATTACTAACAAGTTCCTTTATTTGTGATTACGTTGTTCAGATAACTGCAGGTTACTGTGCAAACTATCGTGATGATGCTGTCTTCTGATGTTATATGTATTGGAGGAAAACGTCCTCTAGAATGGGAACTTTTTTGTCTCTATGCCAATTGAGATAAAGATAGATTATGATAATTGTTGCATACTGGATAATAAAAGCATCAGTAACACTTGCGGCAACCATTGCAGATGTTACTCAAGCTTTGATAGTTCAGTGGTATCAGTACTTTCAAAATATATGTACAATGAAAATAACAAGCATGCATCAGTCGTCTAGAGGAATCAGGAGAATCTTAGAAATCGACGGAACGGTCGTTAGGGAACGCAAATTCAATAGAGGAACAAGTGTTTAAAAGGGCTGAGCAAGTAGAACTTCCTTAATTGTACTTAGAAGGTCCTTGGTTTACATGATATTTCATCTCAAACGGTACACTTTCAGCGTATGAGAGACTGACAGGTTGCAACAGTGATACCAGTTATATTAGAGTATGCACAGTTGGGTACCACAACATACATGGATGACTGGAAAACATATCGATCACTATCTAGACTTTGTCACGTGAATCCTATCGCCCCAACCCACTACGGGAGTACGCACAAATAATATAGAAACAGTGTGGTCGAGGCTAAAAGAATTTTTGCGAACTAATCGACCATTATGCAGTCACATGGGCGAGTTCCTGCATTGTATGCATTACGATTTCAGAACTGCAGTTTTTCCAACCTTGAAAAGTTTTCAAACCATGTTGAGGAAGAGCATCCACTCGTATTTTTTGGTCTTGTTTAATCTACCCTTACTCTATACCGACTGTTTCCTGATTGGCTGAAATTTCTCGACGTTATTTAAGTTTCGTTCGAAGGTCGTTTATAAGCTGTAGTCTAGCAGACTGAACAATCCATTCTTCTTTGAGTTAAAAAGGAGTATTTTACCATACTCACGTACCAAGATAGTAAGATGATATAATTTTGCCTCTGTGGTATTTTATTGTGATATGTTAATGAATCAATAAGGCAAAAATGTTTGTTTGTATGATAACAGATTTAGATTGTGAACTTTGTCAATGACAGTTTAGATGCTGTCGAAGTTGTGTTTCGTACCATTGGTGCAAGAAAACATAGTCAGTCAAAATATATCATTCCAAAGCATTGTTTATAGAGAAAACAGCACTGCTGAACTCTACTCACCAATTTACCTGCTTCGATAATCATTTTATTTTAAAAACGTTTCCCTTATCCATGATTTACTGACTTTGTTTTGAAATAATAAATCAGCATCTATTTTTACCAACCGCTTTCTTACATAACACAACGGCGATAATGTTTAAACTAAATATGAAGTATCAATTAGGTTGACTATCAAGTAATTCATTTGAGCCATATTTTCATGAGACATTTTGAGCATTTAATAAATGCTTTCTATGGATAAGCAACACGAAACGCTAACTTAAAATTTCTTTGTTTGTCATACCAGATATTGATTCTCTCTAAAGATATTCATGGATCTACCTAGAGTACGCAGATCAAATATTCCATTTTTATCAAGATAATGATGAAATAGATTGTTTTCTATATGACTTAAGTGAATTTCTCTTCCTCTAACTGCAAAAGTTTGATCCACTAGTAGGTCAAATAATTACCAGCATTGACCATAGGGAATAAAGTAGCAGGGTGTGTATATACCGTACGACAATTTATTTTGTTGTAAATTATGCCATAAATATCATTAAAAAGTAGTTTGTGTATGGTTTGACAACCGAGTGGTCAGTGTTGAGCCCTAACGCATGATATTAGGTAGTGAAGAGCAGTCATATTGTAAACACGGACATCCATATTCTTATTCGATGGACAGTGTTAGTTGGTTTAATACTAGGCTAGAATAAATCCAGTAGAGGCCACACAAAAACGTCCCATCGTTCCATAAAGTTGTTAGCATTCTAACTAAGTCGCGTCGCTAGCCACCTACTACTCGAATAAAACTCACGTAATAAACTTGATCAAAAGCTGAAGACATTAAATGTTAAAATTCAGGACTGATCACGGTAGTGCTAGTGTATTCACTAATTATCATTTTCTAAATCTTCGGTTTAAATATCACCTCATAGTTTTGATTCCACCTAACTATATTTTTCTTATTTAGTTTTCTCAGTATCATCGGTATTATAGATAATCCAATGTTTACCATCCATGCTTCCAATTTTGGCTGAGTGTGCTGAGTGTGCTTGTACGGTACCGAATTGATCATGACCAACCAACTAACATCGAATGATGAAGCAGTGCAAGTTATCTTTTCTGTGTAAAAGTTCTAGAAATTGTGAATCTGTAATTATCTGATGTGACCACATTCCAGACATTTAGACCTATCATTAGAATTTATATTTAGGATCACCGGTTTAGAATCTGCCGGTTGAGATATACTACGATTATGTTTCAATTCTGTACGTGAACATCTGAATTCAATTCTAACTTGGTTGACTACAAAGTTCTTTGATAGAAAAGGTTAGAAATCCAATGTCAGTAATGTAATAAGATGGTTAACAAGTATTATGAAATGAATATTCTAGTTGTAAATGCAGTTAGAAGTATTTTCTAGACTAATAGTCTTCAGTTTTGTTGGAGTGATCCAGAAAATTTCTTGCAAAAGACAAGCAAGCATCAGGAAACACTAAGAAGCGTTTCATCCAATCAGCGTTCACTTGAAGTTTTAGCCAAAAATATCAAGGAAGCGAAACCTCAGATGCAGAGGTTCTGATTGGCTGATTGTTACACTGTTACTATGTTCAGTAGCATTGCAGAATCTTGTAGCAACCCAAAAACATTTAAAATATTAAAAAAAAACCCTGTGTTTTCTGTATTAAAATGGACCTTGGAGTAAACTACTTCTCGCATACTTTGTGTCTTCTCTCTCGTGTTCAGGTCGCTGTATAGTTCTAGCTTGGGGGTAACAGAATAGCTTAGGAGACGAATATGGCGTTCAATCCGCAAGACTTACCAAGTTTCATTGAGAATCACTTAATAATATACTATTCGTTGCAATATGGTATTGTGGATAAATCTAGAAAATCAAAGGAGCAGTTTGTTTCATTTTAAATTGGAAAAAAACTGATAAATACATAATGCCATATTTTCTTGCAACAAGTAATTTATCTCATCAGAGAAAATTTGTGGTGTAAGTGAATATTTCTTGGTGGTATGATATTCTCTAAGCTCCTTAAATTGAATCATTCAAGCTAGTGAATACGACAATTCTACTCTAGTTATGACTGTTTGTTTCTATGGGAATGTTCTTTTATTTTCTTATATTTGTTTGATTTATGATCATATCAATCCAATGATAACAAGAATAAAAATTAAAAACTTTAACCACCAATCACTGTTACGTTATTCATAATATAAAATTTGTATTTCTGTCCATATACTATTCAGTGCATTCAGAACTAATAGAGTGATTTCGTTGCTGAGTGTCTGATAATCTTAATTGATGATATAGTGTAAACAGAATCAATTAAACGTTATTATTTCACAGTTTCAACTATACATACCACGTATATTTTTCTGAATGAGTTTTGTAATAATGTTCAAGTACATTAATAACATGAAATTCATGTAAATTCAATATCTAAATAAAATACGTTTTATTACACTTATCCAGAGAAATCAATAATATTTCATCAAACGTACTTGCAGTTGTTCTAGTTCCTCACGAACCCTTTCTAATTCAGATTTAATATCTGAAATACGTGCTTCATTGTGAGCTTCTGTTTCACGTAAACGTGCTTGTAATTGACGTCGTTCAGCTGCATTTTCAGCTGTACTTCCAGCAAGTTCTTGTTTTACTTCTGTCAATTCTTTTCTTAAAATATCTCTTTCTGAACGTAATTCATCCATTTCACGTAATTTAGCAATAGCCATCTCCCTATCAGCTGCAGCTCTACCTGTTATTGTAGCTGCTTGTCTAATTAATTCATCTCTTTCTGTTTCAAGTTGGGACATACGATGCATTTGGGCTGTACGTTCTCTATTCAGCATTTTTAGGCGCAATTCGGTCTAATTAAAGAAGGAATTAGCCAATTTGATTAGTTAAAGTTTCAAATAAAGAAATGTTCCATATCAGTTGATATGTACTTTTTAAAGTTATTTCATCTTAAGAATATAAATAATATTTAAATGTAAAGGTCATTTCTTAATAGAAATTAAACATGTATTCAGACTGATTTTAATACAAAATTGATTGATATGCATCAGTTATCAAGTGGTAATCAATGAGCTGACTACTTCTTAAGTGCTAAATAAGTTAATGAAAACAAATTTTATCACAGTTACCAAGTTAACTGGTTTGATTTTATTGTACACCTTAACAAAATCAATTTGAAATGCATTAACTTATTTTCAAATTAGAAGAAACAATATAATGCAATAGCTACTGTAGTTCTATCATATCAGCCTGGTATAATAGAAGAATTACGAAGAATCTTAAAGTTACATAGAATTAGAGCTTTCTATAAACTAACCAACGCTGCGAACTGTTTTATTTCAGATAAAAAAGAAAAAGCTTTTTACTTGGACAAAGATAGTGTCGACTGTGATACTCTCTATATGTGCGTGTCAACTTGTGGAATTTCGACTCGTGCAAAGTAACATCCGAGCTACGCAAAAAGAGAAAATATTCTTATGGAAATCAGGAATTTTTAAATATTTGGCTAAAGTATGTGCTATTTTCAACAACCATCAAATCGACATTAACAATGTCAAAATAATATAGAAATGTTGTTTTGACTATAAAGAAAGGTGAGTAACAGAAGCTTTTCATATTATACTAAATCGTACTGCGCTCAATAGAATAATAAACCTAAATATCCGTCGACCTTGGATCGTATATTCAAATAACGGCATCTAATTGTGTTCATAGCTTGTTGCATGAACGCACATGAAAATTCAACTCGATCCCTTCATATTTTATATTTCTACACATAAATATACAAACAAGTCTCACACCATCAGACCTATCATTCATTTGTACTTTATATTCTGCTTTGTCCATCTGTACTGTTTAAACTCCTATTAATTTGATCTGGCTATTTCTCCGTTCTCTGAAGAAGAAACTTACATAGAGTTGCGAAATGTCAGAAATTCAGTTTTCTACTCATTAAAATATTACAAATATATCTTTATTTTATTATATAATCATTTATTAATTGGTTAAACTATACATACTCAAATTGCAAAAATTCTAATTAAATGTCTTTGCAATTATCATTATCTTCATTAGAGGTTAATTTCTAATGTAAACACATGTATAACTATGATAATCTTTGTCATTTGTATTCATAACTAGTGATTGATATCGGTGACCTTTTAGAGTTTAGAACGAATATATAATTTTAAGATGAAAATAATAATATGAATTTGCACAGCTACTACTTATTACTAAATATTACAAATGATCTTATTATTTAATAATACATCATTTATATATTTAGGTACATCTCTGTTTGTGTTTGTTAACAATGATAGAATTACAATTTAAGATTCATTTCATTACTACCGCTCAATATTATGTAACATTGAAGTTGATGTTTAATATGTTTTATTTTATTGTTTTAATATATAAAAGTATTTACGTGTTTTATTGAACGTATAAATTGAAGTCATTAAATCAGTAATATTGAACGACGAGATTAGAATTGAATCTAAATGGTATTCTCTACAAATAGGTAGTTGGTAACAAATTTCATCATATAGTGAAAATACAAGAATCGATATCAAATAAGAAAAAACTCTGGTAAAATCTATAAACATAATGTTGATGTATAACACTTTCAAAGACTCTAGACATTCAATTCCATACACTTCCTATTTTACTTAATTGATTATTTTAACATCAAACTGTGTTTTGTATACACATCCAAACATAAATAATTCAAATAAATATATCTGTTTTCGGTTGAGATCATGAACCGGTTGATGTTACACCACTATTGAAAACCCGGAAGCACTAGACGGCCTTTTCATACTATTGCGGGTGTCTTCAGTAGTGCACATCCACGATACCGCTTGCAGGATTCTAACCAAGGACCTCCAGTTGCACGCGAACGCTTAACCTCTGGACCATTGGACCGGCACCCATCAGTGTTAATGTCTAACCTCAACCAATCCACGAAATCGCGCGACCATCTTCTATTGTACTGACGTAGATACCTGTTTCTACCCAACACAGATTAGCTGAAGGCCCTGAGTTCGAATCTCGCGAGCGATATCGTGGATGCGCACTGCTGAGGACTCCCATAATAGGACGAAAAGGTCGTTCAGTGCTTCCAGGTTTTCAATGGTGGCCTAACATCAATCGGTTCATGATCTCAATCAAAAACAATCTTAACAACTCTATACTGAAAATATATTTATTGCTAGTTGATACTCATTAACTTGATATTTTTTTACATCGATAAAATAACATTTTTGTTGTTATGTTGAATTTTCGAGTGCCTAATGAAGAGACTTTAATGTAAATGAGTTTCATAAGTTAACAATGTAGATGTTAAGGAAACATGTTAGTCTATATAACCTAATCATATTGTTCTCGGGACAGTTTGAGTATAATGTGTTTCATCGTAACGGGAAGCTGTTGTAAATTGCATTCTACAACTTCACATTTTTAATAATCCATGTCGATCGGTTTTAATTAATTTCTAATATTAGTATTATCACATTATATATTTAATAAAATATTTCATATCAACTATTCAATTAAGAAAAGACAAATTATCACACACGCACGCAGGAAAACATACTTACATCCTCTAATAATGAAGTAGCATTTTGTAGCTTTACGTTTTGTATATCCAATTCCATACGCCATTGTTGTTTTTCCTTTTCTAATAAATTTACTTTTTCTTCTTTTTCTGTCAACTTCGTTTGTTTTTTGAAGAGAAAAGACAATTAAGAAGTAAATTGTTAACATACCATTCTGTATAAAGTTTTTCTTTATTACTTATAATAGTATTTTGAGTAGTAAGGAGTGATATAGTTTGGTAACTAGGATACATTTTGCAACTAGTTTATCCTAATTTGTTTTGTTTTTTACTGGGGCTAAGCTCAAAATTATACATGATAGAATCCAATGCGAAATGAGGTTAGCACCGTGAAGGTAATAAGTGCAATCAATATTTCTGTTGTTGTGTTTTCAATTAAACAAAGTTTTGTTTCCCTTATGCAAGCTTTTATATGTTTCAACCGTTCTATTAGACTTAAAAATTGTGAAATTAAAAAAAGACCACAATTATCGAGTGAAACTTTGTTGATAATATATTCTATGATACAATATCGATACATACCTCTGCTTGAAATCATGAGTCAATTGAAGCTAGACCACCATGGAAAACCTGGAAAAACTGGACGGCCGTTTCGTCCTAGTATGGGACTCCTCAACAGTGCGCATCCACGATCCCGCACCCCGCGAGATTCAAACCCAGGACCTATCAGTCTCGCGCCAGGCGCTCAGCCATGAAGTCACGTGTATACCTCTGTTTTTAGAACAGTGCAATAAATTCTTTCAATGTTAATTTCTTTAATAAAAATAAGCTATGGTAATGATTCCAAACGACTAATCTTGCAACTGTTTTAACTAAATATACTTTAGGTATTCTGAAAACTTTACATTTCATTTGACTGATAATTCTTTCTTATTATCAGCACAGGTTATCATACACCACCACTTAAACTAACATCGTATTGAATAGAATTTTGAGGATTTTCAGCTATTAGACAAGTATTAATATAAAACTGACATTCTGAAAGACCGATATAGAATAAGCAGAGAGTATTTTAATATATGGGAATGGTAATGAGCTTCATCTTGTAAAATGCTTTGCAAAATAAGATTTCAGTGAAACAAGTTATGTATAACATTTGGGATCCACATAGTTCTGAGGAAAGGTATTCTCTCCGTTGTTAATTCTATATGTTTTAAAAATTGACATAATGATAATCATTTTAGTGTTACGTTTCATTGTAATGATACCTAATTGTTTCATGTTATTTTTTTCATAGATAGTTTTTGAAGCGTACAAAATGATTATTCTATTGTAGAAACGTTTCTTCATAGATCGATTGCAAAAAACAGGTCACTTAGTTTAAAGCAGAAGGTACCTAGTTCTAGATTCAAACTCAACTAAAATGTATAGCTCTTTTAGGTTGACCTGATATAATCGTTTTTTGAAGTGATTGGGTTAAATATACAATTGACAGATAAGACTTTAATGATTCTTAATTAGTTAAGGTGTTGTGACTGTCAATAAAAGCTTTATTTATCAACCAATCATCTCGAAATTCATAAATAAATCGATGAGTATATACCGACAAATGTAAGATTTATTTGTTCATGTCCGGAAAATATCTGTTTGTCTAATTATCGAAAATGTAAATTGAAAGAAAACTATCATCATTCCTAATACATTAATTGATATTTGAACAGGATGATAATAATACTGATATTAAACTTCTGTTAGGCATGTTGACAGTGAGGTTAAATAAATAGTTATTAAAAAAGACTTTTTTTTAAACAAGGAAAGTTTAATAATCGTTTGATTGTTAATGGCTTATGTATTCATCAAAAGATAGATAGGGAACTTATCATTGGGAAAAGGATAGCTCTTCATGATATGATAAATGTTGAAACTAAGATTAAATGTAATGAGGATGATCGTGGAAACAAAATGAACCAGTTTAGGTTAGAAAATTTGAGGGGAAGATGGATGGGGAAGCACATGGCTGTAAAGGAAGAAGTGTATGAAGAAAGAGAAAAAAGAAGAAAAAAATAAAAAAATAGGAGGATTGACATTTGGTCGACTTCTCTTATATGATGATGATGTTTTAATGACACGATTATATAGCTCATTTGAATTGGTTGATTCAGTGAGTAGACTAGTAGTTTAATTCATGCAATTCCTTTTAAATATAGTATTTTGATTGAAAATATATCATTACTTGTTACCTAATACTGTTTAGAAACTGCTATAATTGTATTTTACAATAAAAGAATTACTGTAACGTAAAGAAAAATCGACAGTAAACAATATGAATTGATTTCCAGAAATTTTATAAAATCCCTAACACCACTATATATCACTGCCAAATAAAATTAAACATTTTATTTTTCATAGTTGAGTTCGTGAATTAATTAAACCTAGACCACCATGGAAAACCTGTAAGCACTGGATGGCTGCCCCATCCTAGTATGGGACTCCTCAGCAATCCGTATTCACGACCCCGCTTGCGGGATTCGAACTCAGGATCTTTAGTCCGCTCGAATGCCTAGCCTCTGGCCCATTGGGTTGTCATGCGACGGTGTCAATATCTGACTGCAATTAATCCACGAAATTTCTCCAACATCTATAATAGTCTTCGTTGAGTTACCATCTCACATACTAGGATGAAACGAACATTCAGTGCTCCCATGTTTTCCATGGTGGTATAGTTTTAATTGACTTATGAACTCAACTATTAAATCACTACAATCTTCACAAAACCTCCCCCATTTTATTTTTATATTATTCTTGGCTGCATATCTTATTCAATTTAACTCAATTAAGTGAAAAATTATGCAAATATTATTTGTGATGACTATGATTTATTTGTCTAATGTTCAAGTAACAAGGTATGAATCATTCCCTTTTTGAAATATATGGTATCCGTGTGTAAGAAAAATGTTAGTTTTATGTTAAATTCTTAGAAAAAATTTTATTTTGGTTTAGAAAAAAAAGTAAACGTATGACTAGTGATTGATAAATTACATTATTTACGCAATTACAATCTTCCAACAACACAATATTTATATATTTAATTTCAATAAAACAAAGATGATACCAAAAAAACACAAACTGATTGTCATAAAGATAAAAGATAAGTTCATTTTATATCTCTTTTTGACAGTCAGATTTAACTAGTAAATATAATCTCAGAAGGGGTTTTGTGGAGATTGTAGTAATTTCAATAGTTGAGATCATGAGTCAATTGAAGCTAGACCACCATGGAAAACTAGGGAAGCACTAGACAGCTGTTTCATTCTATTGTGGGATTCCTCAAATGTGCTCATCCATGATCCCACCTCCCGAGATTCGAACACAGGACCTGTCGGTTCCCCCGCGTGAGCGAACCCCGCGGATGCGCACTGCTGAGGAGTCTCACAATAGGACGAAACAGCCGACCAGTTCTTCCAAGTTTTTCATGGTGGTCTAGCTTCAATTGACTCATGATCTCAACTATTGAAATTAAATATGATCTATTGATTATGATAAAATTTAGGTTTTCATGTGCAGAGAGATGCTTCGAGAATCATTTATCTTGAAGGATATTTATATTTGTGAAAGTAAATTAAATTCTGATAAACAGTTTAATATACCTCGGGGTGGGGTGGGTAACCAATTTACTGTTTAATTTAAAATTACAATTAATTTCGTAAAATATCATAATCACACATTAAAGACATTATTTGTACATCTTCCTTCAGTTGCCCTTTACATACTCTATGATTCTTTCGTTTTTGTTGTTATTACAGTTGCTTTATGTTTCTTTTCACGTTCTCTTCAGTCGGATCTTCTGCTGGTAGACATCCTACTTCTGATTGGTATTACATTCTATTTATATCTCTCAACATGGGTAACATAAACCACATATTTAGTATTAGTTCGTAGGTGAATACCTACAAGAAAGCCCGAGTTGACGGTTTGGGGTATTTGCTATTAGTCAGAATAGTGTATTTGAATTATTACGGGTAAATATGATTAGAAACGACACCATAAAGTGTCTGTTAAACTTTGCTATTATAGTCTCGTTTGTAAATCCGTAGGACTGATATCCGGTGTTGTCTATTCCAACTTTGGCGTTTAGATCTCCCATCGGAATGGTGAGGCTGTTCCTTGGGCACTTCTCTATGGTAGGTTGCAGCCGCTCGTAGAATTGATCTTTCATGTCGTCGTTGCTATCATTGGTGGTTGCATAACATTGGATAATATTCATTGTGATCCCCTCCTTCTTTGTTTTGAATGATGCTTTGATGATTCTGGATCCGTGAGATTCTCATCCTACAAGTGCATTTCGTGCTACTTTGGACAGCATTAGAGCAAGTCCCTGAGTGTGTGGAGTATTTTCCTGTTCGTGGCCGGAGTATAGTAGCATCTCTCCCGTATTTAGGCTTTGTTGTCCAGCTTGGGTCCAATGGGTTTCGCTGATTCCCAGTACTGCCAAGTTGTATCTCATTATTTCCGTTGCTATTTGACTGGTCTTCCCGGTCTCCCACATGTACCTATGAAAATTGTTGCTGTGGTTGTTAGAAAGGGCACTGACCTCGTGGCTTTCGAATGAGCTCGGCTTCCAACATGAGGCGTCATATTTCTTCTAAATGAAGACCTAACTCCCAGGGCAGAGTCTAAATGGTTTGAATTATTTTTTCTGATAAGAGGTTTTTTAGCGAGTTAGTTTTGTACGGGATGGGGTCGCTAATCCCATGCCTAACCCTCCTGCTCTACCCGGGCTTGGGACTGGCAGTAACTCTAGAAGAGCTAGAGACGGAGTCCTAGAGTTAATAAGGTCATAAAAAATTGTTCCGGATAAATAATGTTTGCGAGGGAAAGTTCCAGAACATTGAAATAGTGATTAGAACTTATGAAGTTAACAAACGTTAAATGATTGTGTAATTAAGTAATCATCTAATGTTTGTTAACTCCATGAGTTCTAATCACTATTTCAATGTTCTGGAACATTGCCTCCCAAACAATAATTATCCGAAACAAATTATCTTATGACCTTAACTTTATTGAAATCTTCGTTACATCATGATACTCATTTTCATCTTTAATCACCCTCCTATGTATAAATATGTCAATATCTGTAATAACGTTGATTTTCAAATATTTTAGATTGTAAGCAGCTGATGAGAACCTAACGAAATAAAATGAATTCATATTACTATGCACGAATCTTCGTTCTTGTTCTTTTTAAAATAATAAAGGGAACTATATGTATGAAATATTAATATTAATTATACAATTAATTGAAAACAGAAAGAATTCTGGATTAGGATGTTTGTTTAATCTAACCAGAGAACATATTAAAAATCTGCTTATTGAATTAACTGAAACTATATTTGAGCCTATATAATTTATAATAGCGGGATTGAAATTGTTTTAATTATATGGTTCATAGACACTTAAGAATTATTTTGTCTACGATTTACATTAGTAGTAGAATCTTTGTAAATCACGGGGAACTGAAGAGTTGTTTCATTTTGGCTTGTGACTTCTGAGTAATGACTCTGTATTCGATCAACACTACCTATGAATAAAGCAAGTTTTATAGTTATACCATTTTCTTGCTTGTTAATAAAAAGTGTATATTTATTTTTTAATAAAGGTTTTATGCAGATGATTGATTTAGTAGTCTTATTTCAAGTAAAGAGAAAATATCACCTACTTGTCTTTGCATGGATACAGGATCATTGTCAATACGATATTGGTCATATTCTTCCCGTAATTGATCTAAACTCCTCTTATAAAACATAGCATCAGCACGTAATTTTGATTTGATTGATTCCCACTCTCTCGTTACTATTCAAGAATGAAGTTAATGACAACAGTTAATTTATTGAGCAACTACTCATCATTAGATAAACAAACATGAAAGATTTTTTAAGTCTACAGAAGTCTTGGATTTTAGTTCACTCCAATATTCCCATAATTTAATATGTAGCGTGAGGGAAATATATCTTTTATTAAGAGTGTGAACATGTATTTCTGGGTTTCAGAGTCTAAGCTCTTACCTCAAGGTTACTTATGTTTATACGTAATTACAAAGTAGCGGATTTTAAATGATAGAGTTCCTTTGGATTTTACAAGTTGATTGGTGATTGCATTCGGTTTTTGATAAAACGTTCCATGAGATTAATCTATTGTATTTGGTGTCAAACACAAAAGTCTATTATTGATAATTACCAGGTCACAGGTTGAGGATCTTGACTTAAACTAATCAACCGTCCACATTTCACTAGCCTTGTTTGTAAATGATTCACACGAAAATAAGTAGGTGATAAATATGTTAATATAATATTTTGTATATCCCATTATCATATTATCATCACTGATTCCGTTGGTAGGCAATATATCTTAGTATATTTAACATCAACTTTCTAAAGGTTACAACTATGCCTCAATCATTAGATTTAACCTACTGAACTCACGAATTCAGTAGTCGATATTATGATAAGTTACTTCGAGTTACTCAGTTAAGTGGTTACGTATAAGACGTTACCGGTAGATTTACAATAATACCACAAACATATGCTATACAAGTGAGAATGAATTTCCTTGAAGTTTAACTTGAGAGATCGTAGTTACGAAGTTTACATTATATGACATGATAGAACCTTTAGAGAAGGAAAAACACTAAAACGCCTATTTTCTTTTCTTGTGGCGTACCCCATGAACACTTGTGGTTTCTGTTATTAAAAGGGTGAGTATTAAATGTTTTTAGAATGAAGTGGTTGAACTGCGAAAAAATACGATAAGGTAAGGCAGGTAGTCTAAAGGAATACAGGAATACATTATCAAGTTTATCCGGTCAGATATATTTAATCTGATGGTACCGGTTCCAAGTTAAGTGGCTCATTTAACTCAACTGATAATCTCCACTAAGTGACAGATCGTATTTTACGATACAAAAGTAATTATACCTTTACGAACTAAAAATCAATTAAGTATGTTTGTTTCATAAAAACTGAGCAATTAATTAGATCATCTATTTCAGTAAACCAGTTCAACTAATCACTGCCCAATAGAAATTTATAATAATGCTATCTAACTAATATAATATGTTACTGACTTCGGTTTTATCAGAATAAGAAGTAAGAAAGCGATTATCACAGATGGTATGTTAATGATTTAAGAATTTATTATAACATTCATTTATCAAATAAGTGAGAACTTGTTCTTCAATAAGCTAAAACAATTTGAAAAATAGGAGAGTATCAAATGGCACTTAATTAACTTAAAAGCAGGAAACTAAATATATTCATAATAAATCCACAAAAAACAATTTTATCTCACTTTACATGAGAGAAACAAGTCAGATTTTGTGATAAAGGAAATAAATTTGTTTCATTTTGCTAGGCATAAGCAGACTTACCTAAATCATCTTCGGGTTCATTGTAATCACGTAATTCAGCTAATTGTTGTTCCAATTCTTTATTTTGTTGTTCAAGTTTTGTACGTTTTCTTGATTCATCATCTAAAAGTTCTTGAACATCTTTTAATGTACGTTGATTAATCATTTCTTTCTTAACAAGTTCATCGTATTCATCTTGTATATGACGTAATTGTCTATCCAGTATAGATATTTTATCATATAAACTAAAGTTTTCAGCTTCTAGTTCTTCCCGATTTTCCGCTTCTTGTTTAACGGTATCCTGATATCGTATAGAAAAGTAAAATCAGTTAACTATGACATAAATCTTTTTAACCATGGATTAACAGTTGGTTTCAATAGTATCTGAACCTATGTACTGATGAATTATCTTGTTAATGATTTAAAGAATCATGCTTTTGTGGCGACTATTTGATGCTTTTCAGCTATGAGAAACTTTATTGTAACAAAGGTAAGTTGAAATATACTTTCGTGGTATGTATAGAAGATCTACAGATGATCATCGGGAAGGGATGAGTGAGGAGATTGTTCTAACCTCCAGGTGGTCCCAGCAGATGCTGGTAATATTTCTAAGACATCTGTGGCCAAATACTAGTAGCTTACGTTTCGCAGCCATAAAGTGAAAAAGAACTAACTGCTTAGCAGTATACTCGTCCCTTAATCGACAGACGGATATCTCGCCTTCGCCATAGGTGGTGACGTAAGTTGGCAAAAGGCGAACGAGCTTCTTGAATCTGTACGGAGATTTCGTCAAACACCAATCTATTAGGGTTGATAACACTTCCAAGATAAGTGAAGTTGTCAACACGTTGGACTGCTTCACTCCCTATTCTTAGTTCAGGTGTTGACGCAGGCCAGTCCTGAAGCAACAACTTGCATTTAGATAATGAGTAACTTATTCCAAACATCCTGGAATTGTCTCTCAGTGCCACCAAAGCACTCTGCATTTCATCAGCGTCTTCACCAAACAGAACTGTGTCATTTGCGTATTCTAAGTCGATAAATGGAACTCGTGGTAGGAGATCAATGCCTGCAAGTTCGGTTGATGAGAACGTTATTTCCAACAGTAGGTCTTTGATGAACAGAAATGGAATTAGTGGACAGCTTTTTCGGATAACACTTGAGGTCGAAAAATCAGATGACAACTTTCCATAAGCTCTGGTCCGACTGGTAGTGTTCAAGTAAAAAGCCCTCACAAGGTTTATGTACTTCTGAGGTGCACAGTTCAGTGACAGATACTGACACAGAACCTCTCGGTCTACAGAGTCAAATGCTCCCTTGAAGTCAAGGAAAATCGTCGTTGTCGGACACCGATAAGTATGCCTGTATTCTTGAACCTGATGAATGGTGAATATATGGTCGATGCAGCCTCGCTCATATCTTAGGTCAGCCTGATTTTCTCGTATTCGTAGTTCACGAGTCTTTGTTAGGCGTCCAGTATTTATTGAAGTTAGTATTTTAGAAGCTATATTAGTCAAAATAATCCCTAGCCAAAACGGAAAGCCGACGAGATACACCCTTCGTGTATCTGGCGATCCGATGGCTAGTTCTTGTGGACTGGCACCTGTAGTCTTAGCACTATGTACGAAGGAAAAATGGCTACTATTAGAATAAATCCCCGTTAACTGTCTCTTGTGTGCTGTTCGACTAAACGGCTCCATAAGAACTCGGAAGGATAGAGACATACGTAGTTGCCTTTTCATCGTTTCTGCCTGCTCTCCAACAGACTGCAACCCTGGACGAGGTGAAAGATGACTTTTACAGAAAGCTTCCTGAACTTCTTGATAAAGCTAAACACTGAGACACAGTAGTCGTAGCAGGCAACTTTGATGTCAAAGTGGGTAGCTTAAACCAAAAAGAAAGACATTTGTTTGGGTATATAGTATTCCGGCTCAGCGAACAGATAATAGTGATCGTCTGCTGCAACTGTGCTCCGACACTAGTTTACTTCTAACAAGCATTAGTTTTAAGCATAGGAATAGACATCGTCTGACATGACGACTCCCTGTACCAAAACAACGGTGGACTCAAGTAGACCATATCGGAGAGGCTCGATAGAAGACTGCCACTCGTTCTGGAATACACGTCTAGATTCTGATCATGCACCAACACAAGCACACATTTGCTTGGGCCTCAATGGACACAGAAAAACCACATTAAGAAGATCCATTAGAGTTGAACTCAGTGACGAGAAAACCAAATGTAGATTCCCGGAACAACTGAGGTGACACCTAGGCAGTTCTGGGAAAATAGACCTTTTGAGTCGTGGTGACATTAAGATTTTAATGTACTGCTATATTATCTGTATACCTGTTAACATTCAGATTAAGTGGAAGATACAAATAAACAGTCTATGAATAACATGGTTTTTAACAATTATAAAACGTACTTCTGATTCAATCAACTGTTTATGCATAAGTACCAATTGTTTTTTCATTTCAGCTAATTGATGTGATGTATTGCTTCTTGGAGTTAAATCATTCACTTCCTCTCTAGATTGTGTTCTAGATGATCCAAAGAAATGTTGGGCTTGCTGTTGATTTAAATTTGTTTTACCAATTAGAATTGGTGAGTTCAATAAGTCTAATGCACATTGAGTATTACTATCAAGTTGTGAAGACACATCAGAATGTGATGATAAATATTCTCTGAGTTTAACAACTAAATCACGATGTGTAGCCAGTTCATTTTGTAGTTCAGTAATTAGCTCCTATAAGAATATTCGGGAAATAAAATAATTATTATGTATATGTTTAAATTACGAGTATTGTTTACATAGAATTTGTTTTATTACTTAATACATAGTTATTGGACCATTTATGCTGTAAGATACTTTGACACGTAACTACATTAAAAGATATTTCTAGTGAAAACAAGGCTTATCATAGTTATTCGGCTTATCAAATTCATGTGTGAACATTACAGTTTTAAAAATAATAATAATTGGACATAATTTTATTGAGATCATGAGTCAATTGAAGCTAGACCACCATAGAAAGTCTCGAAGCACTGTATGGCCGTTTCGTCCTATTGTGAGACTCCTCAGCAGTGAGCATCCAGACTCATGATCTCAACTATTAAAATTACTATAATATCCACATAAACCCCTTCCGATAATTTTATTGATTATTTTGATGAAAACAGAAGTTATAAGCTCATTCATAGATCAAAGACACGGATATCTCGGTTTAAACAATATTTTGGGTTGATTTAATTTTGTACTTAGAGTGAATTTTAAACAGCCAATTTGCATGTATATCACTTTCAAATGTAAATGAATGAAATGTTGACAACTTTTTATTGTCAAAATAAAACAAACAAAATACGGTTTTTAACTAAACGATAATTGTACTTCATGTGTGTCAGTGTATAAAATGTGAATTTAGTCCAGTGAAATATATAATACTTATTAATTGCTAATAGCAAAGCTAAATCAACTTTAAAGTTACAGTGTGAATTTCATAATCTATGTAATTCAGTGAATAAACAATAGGTTTGATAATAAACCAATTAATGTAACTTACATTAGAACACATTTGAAGTACAATTAACCATTTTATTAGTGTGATAAACATTAAGTTCTTGGTCTCATTCAGATAGAAACTTGTTACAATAACTCAGTAGACTCTCATATTGGTGATTTTAAAAGTAGATTTCTAATTTATTTAGATCAGAAATTGAACTATTTATCTTAATCCAGAACTATAATGACCAGTGAACAGTTGAGAGAACCATGTCTAAATTAGGTTATTTTGACAAAATGTAACAACATATGTTTGAAAATCCCTCCCAAATGAAGAAACTAGAAAATGATGCAGTAATTTCATTACCAACTACTGGAATTACTAACTGTTAGCTTTGAACCTAGCAATCAATGAGTCTAAGCACATCAAGAACTTAGAAACAATGACGTTTACATCCTCAGTATTTTGTCAACATTTCAGCTGATACCATTTCAGAATGTAAATTATCATTTGAGTCCAATAGCTTTAGTAACCATTGGTTTGTATTTTATCTGAAAAGTATGCCATGTTTGTCACTTACATGTTTATCACAATTGAATAGACCGATGACACAATAGTTTCTAAAGGATTAAAATTCTGACAGCTGATAATAGCTGATATGCACATTCGTCATTATTCATATAACAATTAAAATGAATGAATACATATAGCAAAGTAGCTCAATAGAATGATTAATTAAAATAATAGAGGACCTTTGTTAAATAATAAATTGATATTCTTTAGTCATTAGGTAACTCAATGGTATTTTATTATTATTCCAATAAGAATAAAGCATTATCACACTAATTAATTAGATTCTTGTTAATTGGATATAAATAAAAGCAGTGTTCAGTAATAAGTACTCAATGAAGATGATCAGAAAGTGGATTTCATCCCGTCGAAAATCCACAAATTACTAGATATCTTTTATGGTAGTAACTTCCTCATACTCTTAATTTACTAAAACTAAAGAATAGTTTTGGAAAATATGAAAAGAAGGATTAAGATTACACAAGATGAATTAAAATCTATGGTTACGTATTCAGTTTATTTTTCAAGGAATATTATTTGTGATGATGTAAATTAAAAATATGATGTGTGAATGATAATGATAATGATTGGTTGTTTGCTTAGTCAAATATGTAGATACTCTGACAGGCGTTAGATGAGTTATATATTTCAGTATCCTTATTACGATTATTATTGACTGACTGTTGATTGCTGTTGGATTGTTTTCGGTTCTTGGTGTGAAAATATATTTGCATTCTAATCAAGCTAATCACGTGTTCTTTGTGTGAGTTGTGTAGAATATACACTGGGAGGGAATCTAGTGTAGATATTCGTTTAAGGTAAATTAACGTCTCATTCGTGTAAACGTGAAAAACCGAACGTTATAACAAAATATATCCATTAAAAAATGTTTAGCTTACTTTTGTCTTCACGTCTTTTTCATCATTTTGGCTTTGTTCATGTTCATCATTACCAACTCCATTCGCTAATAATTTACTTCTTTGTTCTAATTGTTTACTTAATTGATTCACCATAAGTTCAAGATTACGCACATATGCTTTACCTTCAGCTTCTGTAGAATTTTTCTCTTCTAGTTCCGAGCTCAAACGTTCAACTTTACTAGATTCTAAGGCTAAAATATGCTGTAATTGTTCTACACGTTCACCAAGAACACGAACCTAAAAAAAGATAAGATAAATAATAGTGTTATTTGTGATAGTTATTAGTATGTTTTACGACTAAATGAACAACTACTGAAGGTTAAAGTAAAATCAGTTTATGTCTATAATTTCATGAAGACTGGATATGTGGATAGTCATGGTAAATAATTCAGTAATACGGTCCTCAGACTAATATAAAAAGGTGAACGTTCAAAGGTTCACTCTGAAAAGTTCTAAACGTGGATCAGTCAAATAATCAGTATTTGTTTATGCTTTGGACAGGCATAAATTCAAGGTTAAAACCAAAGTTATATTAATTTATCTCTTTTCTTTAATAATTAAATAACTAAAATGCAATACATGCTCTTGTGTTGAATATACTTGCTAGTGAGGAATTTGAACTCTTATTTATGGAAAAGGCATCAATCGTACTAACAACACAGTATTATGCTGCCTGATGCAACACTTTCCTGTAATGTTATGACTTAGTGAAGAAAATACAAGACATGCCAAAATTATAAGGTAAAAGCTAAACTTGTTAGATATTGTACAAATGTAATTACTGTATTAATTAATTAGTTTTTAAGGAATGTTTGTTCGTAACGAGATTGTATTAAACAGAAAGCTGATTTATGCTACACTTTAGGAAAGTTCTATTGTATGAAACGCTGTGATACACTTATAAAGTATGGAATACATAAATTACGGAAAGCAACTGTCCTCAGTTCAATCTCAACAAGTCATTGAAAATTATTAAACTGGTTTAAAGCTTATAAATATATTTCCGACACTTCGAGGAGAGATCTAATTAGTTTAAATACAGTTATTGACGAAAACCACGAATTGTACAGTGAGTGAAATCGAAAAATGATATAAAAGCTTACGGTTATAGATCATGTTTTATTTTGAATTGTTTGAAGTAAAAAAAACTTAGGACAATAATGTTGGCATACTTGTCTAATTATTATTGTACTTCTCACGAGACGTGAAAGTTCTACATTCTAGGTCACGTGGTGTCATTTATGAACAGTTATAAAGTAGGTCAACGCTTCTCTTCAGTACTTCACAGTTGATAATAATAATTGGGCTCAATTCCAAGGTTAAAAATTAAAATTCATTTAAATTACAAAAAACGCGTTTGTGAAATATAAAAAAACTAACTTGATTTTTATAATGTTCAGCAGAACGTAATTGTTGTTCATCTGCCTCCTCACGTAATAGCTCAACTTGATCACGATAAAATTCCGCATCATTTTTCAGTTTAGTCATTGGAGATCCTTCGAGATAATAAATTTTATTTTCAAATTTATGTTTAATAAATGAATAAAGTAACTGATTCATTAAAATATCTTTTCATTGAATGAATAATTAAGTTAGAATTTTAGCATCATTTATTGAAAGCAAAATCTCTGATATTGTGATGTTTTCAAGATGAATAATAAACAAAACATTACTATTGAATTTTGCTTCTGAAACCTGTTTAAAAACATGATCGCCTAAGGGGCTAAGCAACAAATATCTATTACTTCAGACATTATATCAGTTTCAACAGATCGTTTTGACAAATTGAAGTGATTTCTAACATATCATGAACTGAACGTTTTTATACCAATACTCGATTCATTTCGTGTAGTCTTATAATATCTTAACAAGTTTTTGATGTAGGTAATTAAAAAACAATGAGTAATTTGAAAATAGACTACAAGTTAACTTTTCTTAAACTTGTATTAATCACATTGAATTTTCGTGTTAACCTTAATCAAAGTAAATTAGAACAAACAGCCATCATTTTTATTGAGACTAAATAACATTGAATATCTATTACTAACTATTTCAGAATTCTTAATAGTTGAGTCGATTAAAGGTAAACAACTATGGAAAACCTGGAAGCACTGGATGGCCGTTTCGTCCTATTATGGGGTTCCTCAGCAGTGCGCATCCACGATTTCATGAATTCAACTAATAAAAATTACTACAATATCCACAAAATCCCATTCTGATAATAGTTCAGAATTGTTTAATAGTATGCCTTAAATATAATATCCATCATAAAAGAAAATATCACTAGGTTACGATGTAAGCCAGTTTTGATACATTCATTGAATTTCTCCATCATTCTAAATGAGAGTATTTTTCTACATTGTAGATGAATTTGATTTTATAGGTTAATTACCTCCACTATGTACTCTTAACTGTTCTATCACCTGAATGTAATGGATTAATTACATCATTTAGTTTGCTTGGTTATTAATATAATTATAAACGTTTACCATTAAGTTACTGGTGTTGTTTTATAGAAGAAATATATGACAAACTTGAAATTGATTATTATCATAACAGTTGAATTATTGAAAAAAAAGTAATATGTAGTACACAAGCACACAACTAAGCCTTATCATCCAGAACACCAGGAAGAAAATATTTAACAAATAACAGACAATATTCTGTTAAACATCAATCTAATGACCTATTATTTGGTTGCTATTGAAAAATGCCAAAATATTTTAGGTTTCTATTACTCAAGATTATAGTAAAATAGGTTTGAAAATGTAACGAAGTACATAGGGTATAGTGTTGGTCACATTTTTTGATGTTACATTTTTTTGCGTGTGTGATTATTTTTAGATTCACATAAAAAATCTGTCTAAAGTCACTTCATACATTGTTCCAATTCAATTGTCTAATAAATGTGATTGATTATCGATTGAGACAAAATGTTTTTTGTGAATAAAATATAAGTATATATCTAACAAGTGTTGATACCGTACATCAATATATATATATATATATATATATATATATATATCTTATTGGATGGAATGATGACATGTATGAGTAGGATTATGTTAGAATAACTGAATGAAGTAGAACAGACATTGTTAGACAATGTTAGACACTATCACCATTGAATGCCGGCTCAGTGATCCAGTAGGTTAAGCGTTCGCGCGCGAGACCGAAGGCCCAGTGTTCGAATGCCGCGAGCGGGATTTTGGATGCGCACTGCTAAGGAGTCCCAGTGCTTCCAGGTTTCCAAAGTTAATCTAACATCAATCGGTTCATGATCTCAATCAAAAACTTCATAATCCCCACAACCCCTATACTAGTGATTTCTTAACAATTTGTAATGTTTAAGTTTAATAGGAAATTTTTTATGATATTATTTTTAACTTGAAATAAATTTAAGATGTACCTGTTTTGAATCAATGAAGTTGTCATTCTTAGGATGTAGAAATGTTGTATATAAGAAGCAGTCACTCGCTTCAAAGAATTGATGTATTATAATGAAATTAGTAAATTATGGTAATTAGGCTGTGCAGGCGGAAATTCGTTGATTCCCATTAACTGGTATGACAATATAAGACTTTATTTGATTCACGCTTGTAATGAATGAAATTAAAGAGTGTTCATTAGCTGAACTGCAACTAATAACAATTGTATTACATTTAAATTGTTGAGGATTTTAAAGTTATTGCAGTCAGCTCTCTTTATAATTAAATCACGAATTCCATATTATGCTTATAAAAATGTATCATTTATGAATATGGTAGTTTAGACTGATGTTAACTTTTCATTTTACTCCCCTACACCTACAACTATTAAACACGTAAACATTGGAATTGAACGTAGGCTTTTTAGTAAGACTAGGTGTCAACCCCAGGTTTAACAATGATCTTCAAAGTTTCATTATGAGTAACGAGTTATGATATCTGATAATCAGGCTATAAAAATGTCTAAATTAAATTAAGATCATCATAAAAGTTGTTTGGTTGCTGCTTATATGTATCATATGGAACGAATAAAATAAGTAGCGAAATATTTTTATATTACATAGATCAATAACTAATTACCGAGATTTAGGGGAGACGGCTCAACTTCAAGCAAATTACTAGGCTTCTGAGGAGCTAATGCATTTAAAGCCTTGTTATCAGCAGCTAACGTCTGCCAGAACTCTTGGTTTTTACTCAGCGCTTCTGATATCTATGAAGAAGCAATAAGATTGAATGGAGAATGTAGAGGAAAGTAATAGAATAATTAAGTAATAGAATAGTTAATATATGTTATCATAAATGATTTACATTCGGATCAAATGACCCTTCATTGACGCTGTTAGTAGAATCAATAGCACCATTCAGTATCATACAATAGACCATTGATCAGAATACATAATTAATTTCCTAAATGAAATTTTATGGTGAAGAGTCATATTCCATCTGACTATCGTACTTTAAGAAACATTTTTGTTAGTGTAGTTGCGGTGCTTATCAGTGTATACGTGTTATACCCTACTTCACATGCATTTTTGTGCACATGTCAGCATGTACTTTACCTGAAATGACATTCATCATATTAGTTTACAATTCTCGATTCCGCTGAAATGACTGGATACTTTTTTACTAAGTTGTTTAATAAAGATTATTTATGTCAAATCGCGAGGCATCATGTTCGAAAATAAGAAGTGTTTAGCTCCCAGCAAGTAAATCGGTGTGATTTATGTTCCTGCGTTATTGGATCAGCCATTATGTTTAAATCATTGAAGACTTCACTCAACGTATTAGTACGTTTGAAATTTACTCTGATGATGTTTAAAATTATGCCCTGTAACCTTGGTTATATTTGGCTGCATTTGATTTCCATCCAAATGGTAAAATCTGATATTGGAGAGTATTTAATCCATTTAACATCTTTCGAAGATCTCGAATCTCGAAATCTCAGGCGGACATATTCTAAAATAAGAGGGCTTTCACCATGACGTCTCAACACCTCTTTAGAATGATCATTGATATCCACTTCCAAATCAACCAATCATCTGTTGAAGACTACCATTGTATTTTATGGCATAATATAAGGATGTAGTGTAAGTTGCTATGTTAAGCCTACATAGCTTATTCCGGCTTCCCTAAAAGCTAGTTTGTTCATTCTTTACAAGCCATATTTTTACACCGCTACTTAATCGCTTATCAACCTTGACTGTTTTTATGTGTATGTGTGTGCAGTTCATATCTTACTCATCACATACCTGTGACTGATTTTTGTCTGACTATAAATATTGATTTACGCTTGATTTAATTGAGTTGGATCACACGCTTTCTCCACTGCACATCATTTTGCTTCGCTCTCTTCTGTTTCTTCTCCCCGTTTCTTTGATCATTTGTCTGGATCAATGATGGTATGAAATATACGTATTCAAAATTCATTCTTGTATTTGACTTATTGATTCCGTTATACACAAACGCGAGTTAAGTCACTTATGTACGAGGATAGCCAGGATGTATATTTCGACAGCGGTCATTCGATAACGACCATACGATCTAACTGAAGGCAGACCATGGGCCAACAAAAGGGTTTTTTATAACGAGTCGTTGTAAAAATGAATTATATGTTCAGTATTTATGAATTTTCAGATACCAAAAGTATTCAGCTACAAAGTTTGTATGGGTACCATAGCAAATCAAGATCTCATTTACTGTCTTATCTATAAGCGACTACAGTGATTCATAGATTCTTTAGACAATTGGTCGAAGTTCTTGGATTTATCGCTTTTTTAACATTTTATTGCAAGAATAACTTGAATAAGTAGTCATTCAAAAGTGAATCAAATCCACAGAATGAATTATATTAAATATCAAAGATACTTTATATAATGTCATTCATTATGTATATATGAATAGATTTACCTGTTGTACTAAACTTTGCACTGTAGATGCATTTGACACATTTGTACTCATTTGTTCCAACTGAAAGGAATTCATGCCAGAAAAACAAACGTATTAACAATGAAAAAAATTATTTGTCATATTGGTGATTTCTATTAAACCACCTATCTAAATAATAACTGAATAATAATGGCAGTAAAGAATTCTTCAACAAATACAAACCGATTCTCTGTAGAAAGGAATATTTTAACAATGACAAAAATGGAAAACCGTGGCATAAAAACTATAGAAAAGGATTAGGTAAAGTTGAGAAATACTCATTATATTTCATTTAATCAGAGGGTGAGCAACAACATTTATGCCAGGTAGTCGGAGAAGTGTGTCCAAATTTTAAAAGAATTAAACCAAGCTGTTCTAATTTTAAAAATTTGGGTTATAATATATCATTTTACAAAGAAATCTTTTCTTGGACAGCTTTCTCTGATAAACAAATACAACCCTCATTCTTTTATGGTTGTTATTTAATTAAAACACCAGAAATAATATCATAGGCTTTTAGAAATAAAACCATGATCTAAAGGAACATTAAATAAAAGAACTAGAGAAGCTAAAGTGTAAACTTAAAGTCTTCATACCAACTGTTACTAAGTTCCTGAAAATCTATAGTATCAAAAAGCAAACTCATTTTCAGATCTGGGTATAAGAATTGTTTTTCTAGTCAAAGAAACCAATTTTGTATACGGAACCGAAAGAATATATGGACACATGTTTGTATCAATACATAAAACACATAAAGTACGAATAATTTTCATCTGGGGTAAATATAAAAAATTTTCCCACAGAACAGATATCTGAGTAATCTACAAATCAGTCAAAAACTGTATGAGAATAAGGCAATAATGAGTTGTTAAAAAATAAGTTAAATAATCCATCAAATCTAAGCTCATAAACCGAAAGCCGGGATTTTCAAGACATAATCATTACTTTCAACAACCTGTCTTCTATAGAGTCTTACGTAACGTTCATAGTTGGTTCTCATTATAGCATGAATAGCATCTCATTAATGTAAGCCCAAATTCATGTCATATTAATAACAATTAATGACGATAACTTAAAGTTTGGCGACTTCAGATATTCGGTAGAAATACGATACTTTGTTGTTCTAAGTAATCTGAATATACTGTATGCAGTCTGGACGATGGTCTGTGTATTATTCCTCCAATAAATCACCTATACAGTAAAATCTGACGAACACATGTAGTCTGACGATTGTTAGCTTATTCAGAATAACTTTTCGAATCTAATCAGTTCTTTTAAAAATATTCCGCGGTTTTGCGATGAGGTGGTTTTAGTAAGGCGATATATATATATATATATATATATATATATATATATATATATATATATATATATATATATAAATCAAGAGAGAGAAAAAATAGATCAAAAGTGATACCATTTCATTAGTTATGCTCTAACAATAAATAAACATTACAACTAAGCTGAATAAAATTAAATGACGGCGAGAAAAAAGGGTTATTAAATGACTAAACTCACCAACTGTACTAAATTTGCTACTCTGGCTTGATATTCCGCATTTTCGAAGCGTAACATACGAACTAGTGCTTTGTATCTTTCTAATTCACTCTACAAATAAGATTGGAGTAAGCAATAAAGATGTTTACTAGTTTACTAGGAAGGTAGTAAGATAAATATTACTTACGATAAGATTGATAACAAGTAAAAATAATGCAGCTCTGAAAAGCTGTTTTCTCCCGATTTAGAGATCCACAGAAGTTCCAATCCATGTGGTCTTAGTAACATTCGATAATTCCTACTACCCACTTTACTGTTAATTTACATTTTATATGGTTCTTTAAACAGACATTATAATGAGTTATATGTTCATAAGAACGATCTCAGATACGGTCATATAATAATCTGAAAGTAGTGCGTGTTATAATGTCCTATTTCTAGTGGATATACAACTATCTGGTTGTTCTTGTATGATGTTTATATTTTAATATGTAATTAGCAGGAAAGATTTGAGACGGTAGAGAAGTATCGATTCGATATTTTTCATCGGTTTCTTCATGAATAAATAAGTTTGTTTGTGGCTTTTTGAAATGTATCTGAACATCTTCAGTTAATTTTAGTTTCAGTGATAAAATGAAACAGTGTAGAAAAATTAAGACGCATAACCTGTTACGCGTGGTTTTGATGGATAGTCCAGTGTTTGTCTATCAGGATCTGCTAGTAAATAAGGATTGTGCGTAAATATTCGTATTTATGGAGGCGATACGCGATACGCTTGAAATAAAGTTGTAAAAACGATCGATTGGATTCGATCATAATCGAGCACTTGGGTTTTGATAGGTTATTACTTCAATACACATAATAATGACAGAATTTATATCAATGAAGCGAATCATTTTAAATTAAAGTCAAAAAATGAAGATAATTTTGATTTATTTATTTCAGTTAAAGAGTTTCATAACGTTATACCATTTAAAATAGGGATGGTGAATTAGATTTAAAAACTTATGTGGGCAATCGAAAGTAATTTGGTTACTCCGTGTGACTTGTTATTATTGATAAAAAGAAATAAAAAAGAAAATATATTTTCGATTTTTCTCAAAGCCTGTTCTACCATATCACATTCAAAGTTATTAAAAGCATTGAAATTGTAATTTACAACTCATTTATACAAAAGTAATAGAATAAATACTTTTCAACATCACTTGAAAATAGTCTACTTTGTGACTGTACATTATATCAATAAAACAAACGTCAATGTATTTTGATGTGAAACCATAGTTTGCAATAAATCTTGTGCATAACAACTAATAATGGATAATAATTTTGAAAATGAAAAAAAAACACAATTAAACTAACTCTAAGGAATAACAATTCCTCTTCTGTACGATGTGTACGAATTAATGGTTTTAATGCCAACATTAGACGAAACCAAGGATCAAGCATAATACTTGCATTTTTCTGAATACATCTCACTGCTTTTTCTTCAGTCTTGAATTTGTTCAATTATTTATGTAGATCGTGATAGTTGAAAAAAAGAGAATAAAGAAATTCTGTAGAATTTTATGTAAATCTTGATTTTTTTTCGCATCTTTTAAAAAGATCAATTTAGTTCAATTTGTTATCCAGTGTTTTGGTCTAATTCAAGGTAAATTTTATTTCATACGCTCCAAATAAAAATGACAAAGTGTAAGGCACTGATTAAGCTTAAGTTTTTTCATAAGATTTCGAATGTAAACAGGAGAATAGGGTAAATTTTTAGGCTAATTTTCATGGAAGATGATACAAAAAAGGAATAACATTACTTTACTAAAGAATTCGTAAATTGTCTTTTATCGTGAATAGTAATAGAACTGAAATGAAAGCTCTTTCAAACGTCTACCACAAACGAATGAACACCCTCTATTAGACATCAGTACAAAATATATAATGCAGCGCTCAACCAGGGTTGATTAACCGTGTACTCCAAATGGCTAACATCAAATAAAAATCTAGATCATTATGCCTTAAAACTAATCCAAATTAACGAATGTACTTATTACTTTGTAATTCTGAAACATTGTTTAGTACATCATTTAAATGTTAGAATAAATGATCAAAACTAAAATCTAAAAAACTGATCGAAACCTCAATACTTCCTGTCTCAATTGAACAATGTACGTCTTTTGCAGTTCTATTTTCTTTATATCATTTACCACTTTCAAAAATCGGACAAATTAACTTAGTGATTATTTGTTTTTTAAATGCAAATATTTTAAAATCATCACTGGTATATTTATATATTACTTATTTTATAACATCATTACTGACTAAATTCATGATTACATGTCGCTTCCAATTATTTTCAGTCTGTTGGTTAGTTCTATATGCTTTTGAAGTCATGTAGATGGTTAAAGGATTCCGGGGAACTAATATGATAGCTACAGGTAGCTATCCATTTACTAACAGCAAAGACTGTGTTGAAATCATAACTGGATCTGCAGTGTGCCGAATAACAACACTACAGTCTTCATTCAGGTCATGAACTGATCAATGTTAGATCACCATTAGAACCATGGAAGCACTAGATGGTCGTTTCGTCCTAGTATGGCACTTCTAGGAAGCCAGCGGTGGTAATCCACAACCCCTGCACGCGGTATTCGAGCCAAGGACTGTTAAAACTTGTGGCCTTTTGCCTTAGTAATATATAACGTAATGATACCGCCAATTAGAGAACAGTGATTTATCGACCGATTCAATGACGCGTAAAGCCGTATAAGCAGTCTAGAGTTCTGATCGGTCCTTCTTCTGTCCAGCCCTGCCTATTAAGTCCAGAACACTAATAAAGATGTATGTATAGTATAAGTTCATAAATGGATACCAACAGTTAGCGTTCACTACTCTCGTCTAGATATATCAATGGCCTTTGGTCTCGCGCTCGAATGCTTAACCTCCAGACCACTGAGCCGCCATCCATCGGCGTTAATGTCTAACTTTAACCAATTCACGATATTGATGGTTCATTTGAAAGTGATCAAACAAGATTTAAGATATTCACCGAATTATTCTAACTGTATGAGATAATTTCCAGTCTACTGATAATGAGTTACATGCTTTGGACTAGTCATATTCATACTTAAGCTACACTACAACTACTATATAGCAAAGTCAGCGTTTGTGAAAAAGCTTTTGAAATTCTGCTATTGTATTTTGTTAATTTCGTATTGAATCAGACATCTAAATGGTTTTTTTATTTTCTTGAGAAATTAAGAAATCTTAATTCTTTGTTTGAAAACTACAACTTTTCTCAATTCTCCACTCAATTTTATCGTCAAAACTATTTCAAAGTCTGTGTATCATTAAACTCAAGTAATTTTTAGCTCTAAATTAAAATATCGTGTCTGTTGTGAGGCAGTGACTCACTGAAGACAATGGTGGATGATGGCGCAATTTCGTGGATTGGTTGAAGTTAGACATTAACACCGATGGATGACGGCTCAGTGGTCTAGATGTTAAGCGCTCGCGCACGAGACCGAAGATCCTTGGTTTGAATCTCACGAGGGGGATCATGGATGCGCACTGCTGAGAAGTCCCATACTAGGACGAAATGGTCATTTAGTGCTACCAGGTTGCCCGAAGTGGTCTAGCTTTAACCGACACATGAATTCAACTATTAAAATAGCGGTATTTATTATTATTTATAAGTATACATACCCTTTGATTAGAAGATTTACTTCGTGTAATCCATCCACGACAACGTGCTTGAAGTTGTATTAATAATTCTTTATTTTTTAAATAGTCAAATGTGAATGGATCACTTAGAGTTCCACGAGAAAATCGAAAATAAACCTGTTTAAAAAGTAATTTAAGGAAATATAAGATTGAAAGTTTCTAAGATAATAAATCGCAATAACAAATACTGAATTATATATTATACATAATTTTAAAAGCTTATAGCTTGTGATTTATATAATAGTAGAAAAAAACTTGGTATTATATCATACTTTCAATGGCTATTTATCACAGAATAATATTACAAGAAACTTACTACGGATCAAGAATTTAACTGATCCGACTAAACAGTATTTAATTGACTAAATTATTTTCAAAACGTTTCTTCATTGGTCACTGACTTTCGATGAAATCATGATAGTTTATTCAATCCTATTTAACCTAAAATATAATTTGCCTACCTTTATTATGGAATAAAATTCCAGGTTACTGATATTAAATAAAAAATGAATATGAATTATTCTATGTCGTTTAAGTTGAATTTCCTTGTTTCACGTTTCCATAAAATCTCAGATCAAACATTTACTGACATTAATTCTATGAATTATACAATAAACTTACAAGTTATGATAAATTTTAATGAATGAAGATTTTATTATTTACCATTATTTTCTAACTGTTTCTAATAAACTTGAATTTTATGAAAACAGCAGGTACAAGAAGGTACAAGTATTTATAAATGGTTGTCTACGCAAAATACTCAACGTTCATTGGCCGGATACTATCACCAACAGCCATCTGTGGGACAGAACAAACCGGCTTCCAGATGAAGAAGAAATTAGGAAAAGATGATGGAAATGGATAGAACATACATTACGCAAATCATCAAACTACATCACGAGGCAAGCCCTAACTTGGAATCCTGAAGGGAAATGGAGAAGAGGAAGACCAAAGAACACATTACTTCGGGTAATAGAAACAGATATGAAAAGGATGAATAACAAATGAAAACAGCTAGAATGAATTTCCCTAGACAGAGTTGGATGGCGTGTGCTGGTGAGCGGCCCATGCTCCTCTACGAGAAGTCACAGGCGTAAGTAAGTGAAAGATACTCGAATTATTCAAAAAAGAATTCAGTAAATAAATTGTTCTCTTTTTTTGAAAAAATAAAAGATGAATTTTGAAGTTAGAATGGTAAATAGATGGTGAACTTTACTTGTATTAAAGCAATATTGATTTACATAAATCAATACACTATTTCACAAACACTTTACAGACTCAATCTTAATTTGGTTTTTTAGTCTCTGTAAACAAACAGTTGTATTTATGATTGAAAAATATTATTCACATAGCATAAATATATTAAGTAACATATTTTCCAAGTTGAATAATCTTTATTAGTAATTAATTGAGTTTTAAGTTCAATGAAATTATGGTAACAAACGAGATTTATTCATGATTTATTTTATTATTTCTGAAATAATCCAATCATGATATACACTTGGTTCATTTATTTGTAATTATTTCAAAAACCATATAATCATCTGTAAGTGAAGTGAGTAGTGTATACATGTAGCTAACCAATTGAATCACTGGATTCATATTTCCCTTTGATTTTGTTCAACAGTTTTACAATATATGTGAAATAAATGTTGGCTTACTGTGACAGTTTAGAAACTGTTCTATTAAGGTTTCGGGTGATTGATTTCACGCAATCTAGACTACTCTTTTTTTAAACAGTATAAATTGTTGATTTCGTTCGCGGTTAAAAAGAAATCGTAATTAACTAAATTATATTTATTATCAGAAGGGGTTTCGTGGATATTATAGTAATTTTATTAATTGCGATCATGAGTTATTTGAAGCTAGACCACCAAGGAAAAATTTCGAAGCACTGGACAGCCGTTTCGTCCCATTATGAGGCTCCTCAGCAATGCTCAGTGGTCAAGAGTGTAAGTGTTCGCTCTCAAGACTGATATACTTTGAGTTCGAATCCCGCGAGCGGGATAGTGTATGCATATTTCTGCGGAATCCCACAATAGGAAAGAAAGGGCGGTTCAGTGCTACCAGGTTTTCCATGGTGGTCTAACTTCAAATAACTCATAGTCTCAACTATTGAACTATAATTATTATTTTAGATTTTGTAGAATCGTATGAATGCAAAATAATTAAAGATTAACATTAAATTACAAATCTACAGTATTCTATGCATTGATTATTATTTGCATAGTAATTAAAACTGCTTAATATTGAACAGTTAACTAACTGTTTGCACTTTTTTATTAAAAACAAATTTAATCTTAACTGATAATTAAAAAAAAAACAAAGAATGATTTATGCATAAAAAATCTCTTTAATGAACTAGTACAATAATAAAATCGATAGTTTTTGGTCCATACAAAGCAAATAAGGAGAGTTTGGAATTCTCATTTTAAGAAAAGATACTAATAATAATAGAAAAAAAGTTGATCTAGTTCTTTATTATTCACTTATTCAAACCATCTATTCATCTGAACGTTTTTCATAAAGTACTAATCAATGAGGTGAATAGATAGGTAATCATATAATCAAGTAGTTGTCAAGGCTTATTTTATAGTAACAACATCATCGATATTGATTTCATCATATTTAAAACTTGTAATTTAATTATATTTTATATCGAAACGATAACCATCTGACTATTCATTAATTACTAGGATGGTATAATAAATGTGAAAATTCGTTAATTAAATACTAAATAATTATATCTTTACAAATTCAAAGTATTCAATTTTCTATCACTGATCAAGCTGATTTAGTGTGAAAAATAAACAGTTTATCAAATAAAAAAGCACACACATTGTTCTATCCATAATATCTAGTTAAAAGCTTCCTTTTGTAGTTGAAAATTGATAACTATGTACAAATATGCATAAAAAACCTTGTAGAGTAGAGTAATATCGAGAAAATTCACGTAAGTTGAAAGTGTGTTAACAGAGATTGATCAAAATTTAACAACTGAATAACTGAAATCCTTTTTGATTATAACATAAACATCCTACCCATCGAACTATTTATTAGTTAATTTCATTGGCTCAACAAGTAATGGGTTGGGGTTTGAAAGTGCGAGTTATGGAGTAATAATTTTAATGTGCACATCAACATGGAAACTTATATATGTCGAGCTGACTAACCCTAAGCAAGACAAAACACAAATTATTGATTCCAATAACAGCCACAATCCATTTGTTGTAAGTAATTTATAGTACACATATACTTCCAAACTTTTGTATGGAGTGACGATTAGTCTATTTTTTAGTTCAGATTTGACTTTCTGTTGCCAATCTGCCGTATATGTTTCACATTGTTTTTGGTCTACTTTTGTTTACTCTTTCTTTTTTTTCACAGTTTAAATAACGTTGTGTAGATATGAAATATATCATAATGAAACGTGTTGACTTATTGTTAGTTTGTTTTGTCCGTACCATGAAATGATGATCTAATGAATGTGACTTCAGTAAACATTCAGTAGCAATTAGCCTATTTATGACTTTAGCATATGGATTTCACTAGTTTACTGCTTCAAATAATGAATGAAAGTAACAATTTTTTGTAGACTGTCAAGAATGAAATTTAGCAGTGAACGTTTAATGAGAAAACTCATTATTCTTAGAAATAAGCAAAACGAGTGTTAACCCTCTTTAAATCATTCATTTTTAATTAGATGATGATTTTAAAGCTTCACAATTCGTTTCAAAATAAATTCAATAATCTGATTAGTGATGTTGCCTAGTTATTTAAGGAGTTATTTAAATGAATTACTACTGGTATATACAAAAACTATTAATTAGGATTATCTTTTATCACATATTTTATATAAAAGTTAACACTGTCATTTTAAGCTTCTTTGCTTGTCTATTCTCTCTTTTGAAAAATATTCACTGGGGCCTTCGAGTTATCAATCTAATATCCATAAGTGGTCATCTCTATCATAATAAATGAAAGTGATCGATCATATGTCAACACTACCACAAAACGTTCGCCCGTTTCGGCATGATTTTTTAAATATCAGTTGTTTACTATCAGCTTGAATCAGATATTATTATGTTTTAATATTGTATCGGTGGATAGGATATACAATAAAGAAATCATCAAACTGCATGACGAGGCAAGCGCTAATTTGGAATCCTAAAGGAAAACGGAAAAGAGGCAGACCAAATAATACAATGATTCAAGAATTGGAAGCAGACATCAAAAGGATGAATAGCAACTGGAAACAACTGGAAAGGACTTCTCAGAAAAAAGTTCGTTGGAGGATGCTAGTGGGAGCCCTATCCCTCTTCACAATAGGTAACAGGCGTGTGTAAATAAGTTTAATATAGTATCGTTTTATCTATTCAGTTAATACTATGTGTAAAAGTACAATATACATCTATGTATTATACTTTTGATTTATTTAAAAAATTCATAGCACTTTCTCAAAAATGATTAAACAAATTCTCATTCTTGAGCTTAAAGTACAGTATTTAGCCCTATGGTATATAATCTTACTCATATTTTCTGGATTGGATCGAGAAATTTAAGTGGATGTGATAATATCTTATCAGCAGTCCAATAGTACTGCTGTTCATTTTGGCAGATGAAGCCAATTTACTGAAGACAAAGTAGTCGTTGGGTTATGTTATGTAATGTAATTATAAATATTTGTATTTATACATTTAAATAAAAAATCCCCCTGATGACAACAAAAGATGTTTCTAATAAAATGTTAGTTACTCTGATATCATATATTTACATTATCGATGACTAACAAAAATTATCAAACATAAAGTTATACTTGATTTGAAATCAAATTTAATTCAGTTTGGAATGATCTGAATTCTGCCGTTGTTGATATATTGACTGAAATTTGAGGATTGGCTCTATATGGACATTACGATACAATTAAATATAGAATAAATGGGATGTGTCGTCATGGCTAATACCAAGGCTATTCTCACAGGGTCCAAACGAAGACCGAACGAATTCCAGTCATAATATCAACAACAGCATAATCCAGACAATTTCAAACTGGATTAAATTCCATACCTGTTACATAAGTGAGTATCCAACTGAATTCAGTAGATAAATCAATAGCG